GAGTCCCACCCCTGCCCGTTTCGATCTGGATGAGCATCGTACCGGCATGCGGTCGTGTATCACTACTGCGTGGTGCACGTTAAAGACCCCAGGCTAGCGGTTGTACTGCACTGGCTAAATTGCTCAGCTACAGCTTGTGACTCGTCGCAACTTTCATGGCTGACCAACTACACGCTGTCTAAATATCCCCAAGCCATAACCCAATTGGTCGAAACCGGAAATAAGACAACACCCGCGCGACGTTTCCATGCCCTTCGTGACGTCACGACACGACCAGCCATGCATACTATTAGCCCCGAGAAGTTCGTGTGGCGCCCCCTTACGGCAAACCGGGGTGACGTCACGACGAGCAGAGAATTTTTCCCCGACTCGCCTCGCTCACCCTGTGGAGGCTGTAACGACTCTAGCTGTCGGCGCGCTCGTTTCTATTTAATTTTTTTTGCGTGTTTTTCGTAGGAAGTGTAATTTCTTTTTTATGTGCCGTTATTGAGGTATGACCTGTAGCTGCAGGCGAAACTTCAACCAACATTTTAAGCATGGTTGACAGGGCAGGCAACGCATGAATCGGAGCTGGTATATGAAAATAAAGAAATATGGCCACAATTGCAGGAGCATCACTATAGATTTACATCTCGCACAATAAATGCTACTGATGGTCTGAATGAATTGGCAGGTTATGTATATTATTTTTTTTGTATCTCTGTTTTTAAACAAGATCGCCGAAGCAGAAAAGCTGCATACTGCTCGAGCAACATGCCGAATACAGTATGGGCCATGGGGAGAGAATCACAAGTAAGACAGCCCAAGTGCAGGGGCAAAGTAAAAAACACAAGGAACATTTATTATATACATTGCTCGCATTTGACCTTTGCTGGATTCGGATAGTATTTCAATGGACTACACGGGTGGTATCAACCCTCAAGTAATGTATAACGAACGTAAGCGAAGGTGCCTAGCTCGTTATTGGTCCCTTAAGCCCTAAAATTGAGATTTTACTTAAATCGAGTTGTTCTGAAGCTAAAATACCAGAAGCTTTTCTCACGCAGACTGTCGCCCTTCACAGGTTCCACGTTTTCTGCTACTATAGTGCTGCATCTATACCACTGGACATACGTTCGAATGCTTGCTTTCACTCCTGTTTTCCTCTGTTGTCAGAGAGCCCAGCTGTAGGGAGTTTGGAGAATGAGGAAGCTTTTGGAGACCTGCAGCAGTGTATCTTTTAATTGGAAGTGACAATTCAGACTAAACGGTGTATTTTCCGGATACCCAAGGCTGGAATGAAAATGTCAGGAAAAAGTACAACATTCCAAATTACGGCACTATTGCTGTACATATTTTGGGCAGTTCAATACATGCATATCATACAGGCAACTGGGGGCAATTCGCCGTCTTTGCTGCTACCATACAAACTAATTTCCAGTAATTGTGCATCCTCTAAGAAATATGCCTTCATACATGTATAAACTATATAATTAAATCACGAAGAAGCTACATTTATGTAAAGCAACCCTGTTCTACAAGCACTTCAAAGATAATCAGACACAGGGCCTTTAAAGCATCTGCGAACCAGCGCATGCAGAGTGGCAGCGCAAAGTCGGGGTCGCGAGCTAATTTGCCGACCACCCAAAGGCTCATCATATAAATGCCACTTCAAATGCCTTGAAAGCGGGATGTAATATCGTCCAAAATTATGAACACGCAGGGAACGGAATTCCAACGTCTGAAACACTTGCGCCACCGCTTCACCGATCCCTCGCAAAATTGCCCTGTGTCATGTGGACGAACGGGGAGGTTCATCGGCGGAATTGCCTCCGCCGATAGCTTTGGGATTTGTAACCCAATTTTAAAGGTAAAAGAGACGAGCAGGCTTATAAAATGTACGGAAGCACGTCAATATCGGCCTAACTCAACGTCTTGTACAGCGGGTAAACGAAGTCTAGCTCCTCGAAGAGCTTGCGGCACACAACGCCAAACCAGGAAACCGGTGCTGGGAAGCGAGCCGATGCGAGATCGCGGAGCGGAGTCCTTCCCCTGACGTCACGGTACACCTCACCCAATCAGGGCGCGGCGACCGCAGCGACGCTTGTGTTCGCTCTCGGGGCTAATAGCGAAATTTGGCGTGAAGTCTCGTATGCGGAGCGCAAATTCGTCTGCTTCTTTTGCAGGGGTTGTGGTGACGTCAGGACGCCGAGCTCTGATTGGCTCTGACTAAAATGGGTAGACCTCAGAGCAAGCTGCCTTGAGGTCTGGCCCCTTCATGCAGACCAATCAAACCCCGGCGCTCTGACGTCACCAGAACCCCTGCAAAAGGAGCAGACGAATTTTCGCTCCATTGATGTTCATAATTAATTTAACGAATGTTGGGCCGTCCTTTAATGAAATAAATATAAATTCTGACCATATGTACGCCCTGTCTACGTGACCTGCGTAAAGATTTAGTAATGTCGAAATATCACCGGACAATCTCTTTAATATTTATTTGAAATGTTCCGAGTGAATAGTTCATATTTCCCGTTCCAGGACCCTCAGAAAAACCACGGTAGATCAGTTGACTAAAATTCATTAATTAACTTTAAATATTGATCGAATGAATCGTGTTAAAAATGCAGTATTGACGCGGATTCTTGTACTAGAGACGATACGAATGATTAGATTTTAATTGATTATTATTCAATTACCACGACGATCCTTCTCCCATCTAACGTCCTCCGAGCCCCAAGACAGACAGTGAAGAGCCGGCATTCATGCAAAGTCGGCCGTAAGAAAAGATTAGCCCAAGTGATTCGTGGCTGGTGCGGTGAAACTGCCACAGGCGGCGCTCTATCTCGCGACAACACGGGGAGTGAGAGTGGCCCGGGACGCTCCCACCTTCGAATCGCAGGGGTGCCTCGAGGTATACACGTTTGCAAGAAAGGTTCCTGTGCGCTGCCATTTTGAGCGATGCTGGCGCCCCGTACCGTTTCCGCCATGCTGGGGTGCACCAAGGGCATGTCAGTGGGGTGCGCGATGACAAGGTGGTGCCGTTTGCTGCATCGCCGATGGCTAAAGTTAGCGGCACACTTACTGTCTCGGAACGCAGGAGGAGGTATCCACACAGTATCGTAGCATCACATATTGTAGGACGGGACATCTTTAAGGGTTGGAGCTGACTTTATAACGATCGCAGCCTCTGTTCCTGCATGTTGTGGAAGCCAGAGCTGCCGCGAGCGCAGCCATCGTTGATGCAAAGGCCATGCGACTTGTGGCGCATTCTGAAGAGCGCCTTGAGACTTTAGATATTTTTGAAATTTTTTTATTTGTTACCGGTTTAAGCATTCTATTTAACTGTTCTTGCTCTTTCGCGGTCGAAGACGACACGTGTACGTTTTATAATTATTTTTTAAATTTCTTTCTGCGCTCAATGGTGTACGCTTCGGCGAGAGACGCTTGGCAACATTGTACGACAACCAGCAAACGTCCTGGCTGGAGAGTAGGTCCGCCTCACCTTGGCGCACGGTTCGAGGTTAAGCCGGGATCCCACTTGCAAAGGTGTATAGAATTATCGCTTGTAGCAAGCTTTCTCTTTTCTTGCTGCCGGCCTTTTTTTCTTTTCGAGGGTGACGGGTCACGCGTGGCACGACGCTTTGCATTAACAGGGACCCTTAGCGAACCGCTGCCGTGCTCCTTATGATGTACCGCAGGAAAAGCTACAAGCGCGAGCTCCTTGCCCAGGGCACAGTCTAGGCGGCACAAACTCTCGTGAATTAAGAGCAGCTCCCAACGCTATGAGCTCGCGCTTCTAGCCTTCGCTGCGGTACAATATAAGGTGAAACGAAGTATACCCGAGCCTTTGAAGCACGCTTTTTAGCGCGCTCCCCGCGGTCACGGTACCCCCCGGCCGCGCGCGCTTAAAAGCATGCTTCAAAGGCTCCGGTAGTGTGGGTATATACGCGGAGCACGGCAGCGGTTCGCTAAAGGTCCCTAATATCATCAAACAGTTCTAATATTCTTGGCAACGTAGACAGTGCTACTTATATAATCTGCCAGCCTTACCAGTTCAGCGTCAAGGAATTGTAAATGACGGTGAAACACCTACAAAAAAAAAAAAAAAATAATAGCGCTATTTTTGACGAGCTAGCAAAACCAGAACTCATGTGTGCAGTCACACGGTGTCGCTTCGAAAGCGCGCCTCGGGTCTTCGGGGACGGCTTCGATGTGCCGACGTCCCCCGAGCATCTAAGAGTGGACTAATCCGGCAATCACGGCCCCAGCGTGCTTACGCTTCGGACGTCGGATCGGCGACGGCCATTGTGGCAGGGCCGGCCCTGCACCATCAAGCGCTCTAAGCAAACTCCGGCCGTGGCGCCACTCGGGGCGCGACGCTCGAATCTCCTCCCTAGAGAGGGCTGTTCGCCGAGTTTCTGCCGTAAACTCGGAACACCCTCCATTACGACGGGGGCACGGTGTAGGGTCTCCACCTGGACGCGAAGCTGGTCAGGTGGCTTGGGTTTCCAGCCTGGGTTCCTTCCACCGATAGGTCGAAGAGAGGGCCCATCAGAAGCTACGGGGGAGCGTTTGCAATCTAATGGCGGACGCCCCCTGCGGCGATTGGCCGGGAGTGCGCGTGAGCCGCGTTTTCGCGTGGCAAGGAGGAAAGTGGGCGGAAAGGCGGAGTCGTTCGCAGACTCGATCGACGCTTTCGGCGGCGCCTCCACGCATCACGCATTGCAGATGCGGCCCGTCAACCACCTGACCCCTATGGGGCAGTTGGAAACCCTCTTTAATAAGGCTCCCTACTCCTCCCCAATAGGCAGGCTGATCACGAAGGTAAAAAGAAAAAAAAAAAAGCTTCAATCTCTTCCAGAAGCGCAACATTGAATTCACCGTTTTGGCTAACAGTATACCGCAAACAATTCCAGTTGAGCCCCCCAGTTGAGCCTAATTGCAAAATGCGCGCTCCACATTCGAGGAGCGCGCATTTTTCATTTGCTCGTCGTGTTCACTCGCTCTGTCCTTTTCAGACCCCACACCCTTTGTTGCGGAGAAGAGACAATGGACATGGCGGAAGTACCGGACAACGTGGACCTCATGACCCTGAGGTGCGTGAATGCTGGTGCGGTGCCTCGTGGCAGTCAGTCCCAGGTCACTACGGTTCTATGGACAGGACGTTGCTGGGACATTGTAACATTCCGAGGACTCATGGAAAACCGTGTGAGCTGCTTGGAAAAAAATGTGCATGAACCTCCGAAGTAAAAGGAGCCGGTGCTTGACGCAGAAGACCAGAGTAGCTTTGCTAACATATTCCTTGTGTACTCGGGGATTCTAGAGCAAACTATTAAATTCGTATGTTAACTGGACACTTAACGAGTAAATATTGCCGCGTGATTGCCATTTTTCGTCTCCACACTCTTAGAAAAAAGGGTCAGTATAGTCCTCCCTAAAGGGAGGAACGCTCTTGACACATATGTTCCTTCAGAAAGGGAGAAACTTTCGTCCCTCAAGCAGGGGAGCAAAAGTTCCTCCGTCGACTCCATCTCATTATGGCGGCCACGAATCGAGCAAATCGAGCTCGATAAGGCTTAACGAGAACACTAAGTCTATTGTACGAAGCGAGAGGAGCAGCAAATAAAAACGTAACACGAGTTTTCCGCGAACTGTATTTATTTCCGAAGTTTCTTTCCCCCTGCAGGTAAAGAAACTTACGTTTCGAAAGCATGCAGTCACTCAGTCTTCTCATCGTCAGCACTGCGATGTTCAACGGAGACAACCGGCACCCGGTTCGCGCACTTTATGTCTTACCTTTGCTATTCCTCGAGCTACAATTCCTTCGTCAACCGTTGCGCCAACCGCACATCACGGAGGAGTAAAGATCATTCGCCCGCAAAACCAAAAGCCGCTCTCAAAAAAAAAAAAGCAAATCCGAAGCAACCTCTTGGCTTACCTCAGCACGGTAACACGAAATAATGGCGCAGCCGCGTAGCGTAAAAGGATGTTAAATCGCTTGCCACAAGATGGCAGGGTCAAACAGAGTAATCGCAAGTAGCTAGGCTAGGTGGCGCTAGGTACCGCCCAATTCATGTTTTTACAAAAAAAAATATTTTTAAATTCTTACGCTACAATTGCGTTTCCTTTTCTTCGGGAATCTCTAACACATGTAGACAAGGAGGTTCTATAGAAGTTCTGGAGTGGCGGTCCCCCATAGCCGCCTATGCGAGCGGGTGAAGCCAAGCCAACCCGGCGGCGGCCATATTGGAAGGGGCAAAAGCGGGCGGCGCGGTCTTGTTGCGGGCGGGAGTCTGTGCGAGTGGTTTATTGCTGTTGTGCGCAGGGTAGATTCCCCATGAAGAAAAAGCAAATATTAGCCGTCTACATACCTACTGTTATTTTATTCTGCTCTAGGAAGTCTTCACATCCAATAGATTAAACAAAATGCTTAGTGTCACGATAAACATAGCACCCGTTCGTCTGAGTCGAGCCCGAGTAGAGGTCATACTTTGTAAAACGGAAATACCGACTCCTTTTAAGAGTGCCACATGCTTTCAAATTGGCCATATTTTTTTTTAGCTTTTACTTCGTAGCGTGGAGACTCAAACACTGCAATCTTTATCGCGCAAACGCATCAATACCCGTTCATGGAAATTTTCCACCAGGTTCGTCTTGTTCCCAATTTTCGAGCCAAATTGACGTTGGGGTGCAAACTTTCTTTTAAAATACGTGGTTTATAGCTGCTTCAGAGTGTAAACATAACCAAAGCATTTAGTGAAAGGACAAGAAAATAGTTATTTAGAAGTTTTAATGACTAATGGCCCAATACTCCTGACAGGTACTACAATCGAATTCTCATATTATAAGCTTCAAACATGTCTTGTTCAAGGCACTGCAAGTAAGAAACGTTGCAAAAACAGCCTGCAACATCCTTGTAACCAAAAGTGATTTTATTTGGACAAAAATTAGAAATGTGTGAAATGAGCTCGGAAAATAGTGAAGCACCTGCGTAAACCTTGCACGTCGCATGACTGCACAGCCACTTGGAAGTTCCTGACTAGTTATTGGTTCTTAAATATTATCAACCTGGACAGCACTGTCCGCATGCTGTTTTTGCAATTCGCCCTGTTAACCTCTTTGGTGATGTGATGAATTCGTATCATCAAGTAATACTCGACAATCTTCTTTGATAACTTGTAGATGTGATTATCTAATGGGTCGCAGTCAAGTAGGTGGGGCTCAAGTTGTGCAAACAATGCCCTCTCGAAAACCATAGTCAAGATTTCTATAACCAGGCTCTTGCACTTTACATGCAACATTTTCGTGTTGGAGCACTGAGTCTGCAAAACCCTGAGGCCTCTCTCTGCAGCGTCGCAAATGGCAAGTGCATCCTTTGAGGGGGCCACAAGTCCGCCATGGCTCTTTGCTTTGATGAGCGCAGGAAGCTCGTTCGAGTGGAGAGCAGTAAGGCAGTCTTCACAAGACGTACTAGAGGCAACTTTGCGGACTACAAATCCTGCAATGTATGGCACGACTGACTCAACCACTCCTGACAGGCTTTGTGGCAGGTCCACCCGATAGGTATAGTCATGGTCATCATCGAAAGCTCCAAGAGTGGAACATTTTCTCTGCTGAGTAACAGCAGTGGACGGTTCGACGTCTGTTACACCACTTGACACGCTTAATACTGTCACTACATCCGCAGAACAGTTGCCTGCTTCGGACGACTTGACCACTGTTTGAATAAGCAGGCGTTTGTAGGCCGCTTTGAATTGCCAGGCAGTTGGATTGTTGTTATACCCTCCCTTTCCCCTGATGGAGCCGAAAAATATCTCCAGGTGATCTTGGCACATTTTGTGTGTTAAGATGTATTTGAGCTTCCCTGTTGCTACCAGGTCATCAAAAAGAACTTCAATGCTCTTGATGCAGGCTAATAAGCCAAGAAATCCAGTTTTCTTTAACCCATCAATGATAGGTTGTCCGTTTGCATCCCTCAGCCCTTTGATGTAGCTCTCCGCTTCTTGCAGAAATGCCTTCCACGCAGCTGCGTTCCTTTGGCCCAGTGGTGCTTTGTAAGACCTGGCCAAAGGATTTCTTGAATTTAGAAGGTCAAACGGTCGGTCGAAAATACGTATGAACCGCGCTGTGGCGTGTGCACCCTGGAACTGGGGCAGCTTCAGAGTAAATTCACAGAAGTCAAGCGCATCTGCGACTGAGGAACTCAAAGCTTGTACCGCGAGCTTGACTTTCATTTTCTGCTTCGTCCATTCGAGATGAACCTTCGTGAGTTTGTTTCCAAGGTGTAAACCTTCGTGTGCTTGTAGGGCTTCCAAGGCCACAATGTACGACCATTTCACAGGCGAGCCTTTGTCGTCCAGTAGGTGACTGACAGACCCCAGACAGTTCCGAATTAATTTAATCATGTGGCAAGCGTCTAGAACTACAGACACTTTCTTCGATGCGTCTGCTGGATGGTCGAAACCAATCTTCATTGTATGACTGCTGATGTCGGCACCAAGACACTTGGCCATTTTGAAGTTGGAGGCTGCTCCGTCAAAAGTGAGTGACACAATGTGGACTCCTGTTGACTCAACCCTTAGAAGGCATTCTTTCGTGAATTCTGCTCTTTGTGAGCCTGAAAGAGAATCGATGAGAAAGTATCCAAGGGGCAGTTTGAGCCCCATATTGAATGCCACAAGCATGTAGACACAGACGTTTGTTGCCTCTGGAAGGCTGTCGTCAGGAATCTCTCTGCCAAAATCAATGTAGCCAACAACTTTGTTGCCGACAAGCTGAACGTGCTTCTTTATGGCCATGTCATCCACCATGAGTGCTGCCAGCAGAGGCTCATTCCTACCTTGCGCCACGTTCTTCAAGAAGTCCATTGCTTCAGATGTGAATCTAGGTTCACCGTTCACTGCCTTATACCACTCACGCAGGGTGCGCTGTGAGGGCAAAGCATTATTAAACTTTGTGCGCACATATTCATAGGCAGCTGCAGAATAAAAGTGCAATATTAAAGCGAATGCGCGTAGTTCAGGGGGAAATATTTTGTTGCCCTTTTCTGCAGCTCTTGAAAGCAGCTGCTGGATGTCAGGTGAAAAGGTAGCTTCAAAGACTTCCAGGCCTTTCTCAGACAAAAGCTGTTGATCTTTAAGTTCCTTCAGGAGCTCTTGAGCATTGCTGTAGCGCAACGACAGCCTCCGCCTGGTTTGCTGTAGGGTCTTCACCTTTTTCTTGAGTTGCTGGAGTTTGTCCTCAGACTCCTTTATTTTTTGCCGGTACCAATCTTTTGTTGGTGACGTCACTTCAGGCTCTACATCAGGTCCCGGTTCAGCGGCAATATCAGGTGGTGCCACGGGTGCCATCTCCCGACACTTGGGAGGTTCTCGTTTTCGCTTTTGCTGGATAAAAAGAATGCAGGAGAAACGAAACAACTTTTAGTCTCTTACGATAATTTTGTTGACAAAGTCTGCAGTTTGCTGCAGAAGGACACAGTGCGTGCCAAGTACGATACGGGTCTTCATTACATAGTACACGCAAAGAAGATTTTTTATTCATGCGCTGCTATATTTTGTAAGTTAAATATTACTAAAGGTATTTAACCAATCCAGGTACTCACAGGCTTCTGCAGATGTGCTGGGAATGCTGGGAAGTTAGTAGGTAGGCTGCCAGGTCGCAGTCTCACTGTTTGCCAAGTTTTGTCGAAACAATGAGGTTCGAAGTGAACTGAGCAAAGACGGTCGTTGTCCTTTGGTTTCCAGCAATCTCGCCGCACAGCACGTTCCCAGGCAGCACGAGCACTACTTTCTTTGGGAAATCTGCAAACACGGGCGATATGTAGCGCACGTTTCATGCTTTCATTTGAACGCATTCACTGCTTTGACCTGCACGGAAGCCTTACAGAAGCACATATGCGAACAGACTGCTAATGTTTGCAAAAAAACCTCATGCTTAAAGTGCTAAGGGAACCATACGACAGGAAACAAAAGCAAGTTCAGTACATGGGACAACTGCTGTGAGCAAAATTAATACACGGAGGAGCTCGACGACCTTACCAGGCGAAAATGATAAAGTGCTCACTGAATTCACGCCAGATATTGCTACTTTGCGCACCCCGTAAACCCCCCCACCCCCCAAGCACATATAAAGAAACGCGCACGCTATTTAAATTAACTGACCGGCGGCGAGCTTGTTAACTGCCTCTAACGTGCACATTAGGACCAACGCGAGCAGCTGGCGGACCGGGAAATCGCAAACAAGATGCGTTTAGCGCTTACACTTGTTGGTTTACGTATACAGCAAAACGGAAGGACGAGAGGTCATGCATACTTACGAGTGAAATGTTATCCCTGGCGTCTTCACACGATTCGTGCACCCAAACGCGACGCACGAACCAACCATAATCAGTTGAAGTGCTTTCAGCCTGGCAAGAAAGCAATCAAAACACACCACGTAAAACCACAATCAATCCATGCCACCAATTAATCGAGAAATCGCTGTACGCCTTGACTTCTTCTCACGGGGCCTACGACATTGGCGACTATATGCTATATATCGGGGACCGCCACTCCACCCCTCCTTGGCTACGACGGTTCACGGCGCTTTTTGCCCTTCGCAAGATGGCGGGGCGTCGGCGTCAGCGCGAGGGCGCCCCCTCCACTCCAGAAGTTGTTTATAACCTCCTTGCATGTAGACAAGTTACACACACTACAAGCATCAGGTGAACATATGTCGAGCGCATACACAGGCATCGCACATACAAGCATTAATACAACAGCCACAACAGCACACTAACCCGATCACTACTCCCGAGCCCTGCGTTTCCGTCTTTTATACTGGTCGTTTTGAACGTACGGAATTTTTCGGTGACTCCCTAAGAAATAAAAAATATTCCGAACATGTTCATTTTTTTCCAGCAATGTTATACATCTGAGAATATTTTTAATGGCTCAGGGGATGAATCTCTTATTAAAAAGAAAACGCTCGATCATGCCGTAATTATTTGAAAGCCAATAAATCGTGCCGCTCCAATGTGGTTCCAAGCCATGAGTTTGTTTTCCCGCACGGCTCTTCGTAGCCAGTATTTATATTGTAGTGTTTGTTTTTCTATTTGTAGTGTTCGCGCACGGCTACAATTGCCGTCTTGAATTAATCTTTGTAGAGCGGATATTCACTCAGCTGGAAGTGATGCTTCACGGGCAGAGAAATCTCTTTTCGATCAACTTGAATGCTGTCAAAGCCGCGACTTGCGACAACTGTTAAAGTGTACGGAGCTACGCCGTTGCGAGCTCGAACACTTCTAGCGCTCATCCCAGCGCGCCACTTGGAGGGCAGTTTCTACAGGAACCGTAATATATTTAAACAGTAAAATAAAGGATAGCTTTTTTTGTTGTTTTTTTTCGATTTTACCTGTTTTTGTTTTTTTATGCTAAACTTCCGTTGTAAATATACGTACTTTCCGTCATACTTTCGTACTGTTCAGTCTTTTCCCCAGAGCGCAATCGCTCTCGGGGACCGACAGTCACATTGGCCACTGTACATAGGAGCTTACCGTTCAGACCAGCGTTCAACATGACTATCCACACGTCGATCGACTGCACCTAATCCCTCAAGTGGTTTTAAACTCTTTAATGTAAAGCGGAATGTCATCCTGCGACACCCCGCCCCCTCCGTACACGGCCCGACCAGCGGCATCAATGCCCGACAGTTTACGTCATCTCATCTTGTTGTTACACCACTGATACGCGAACACACGGTCACATCGGCGACAATTCCAGTCTTCTGTTTACAACCCACAACACTGCCATCACGATGTCGCTGACACGCAGAAATACAGGACCACGTTGACGATGTTGCTGACACGCAGAAATACAGAATCACGTTGAACGCCGGTTGGCACTCGGCACGGGACAACAGAACCGAACTCAGCATGGAAGGCACCCAGGCAGCCGGCAGGAAAATCTGCCTTCCTTGGACGCAGTTTCCGCGATTTCCATAACGTCGAAAACGTCGACACAATTCCTCGTGGTTTCGCTGCTGTAGTTCCGCTATGGTTCCGCGTGTGTCCCGCAAATCGGAGACGGCCGTCTTACCGGTCTTACCCAGTGTATGTAGCGCTGCTGGCACTGCTCCGGAACTTCGCTGTTTCTAGCGGCTTCGTTAGACCGTTTGATAAAATTAGTGGTAAAAACCACTGATCTCTACTATAGGGGGCTGGATGGCGCTTAGCTGCTCTCCGAGCCTGGCGCAAGTGAAGCCACCGGAAGTTCGATGCTTGTCCCGGAAGTCGGGTGTGCGCTGGGCTTCCTAGTGCATTCAGTCGATATTTTGGACCATGCTTCTTTGTGTCTTTGATTGGGTTTTAATACTCCCGTTCTGGATTAAATACCGAAAATGAGGTATTTGAATTCGGGACATATTCACAACTTCATCAACTAGAATCTCAAAATGTTTACATTGGATGGCTTCCCGTGATACTTTTCGGGTCCGCATGCGCTCTTACTGCGCAACAAGCAGTATCTCTTGAGGGAACAAGTGAAAATCCAGCGCCTTCGGCGCTTTTCGAACCAGTACTCGGAAGGGTTACAAAGCCTGCCAAGCGCTCACTTCCGGGACAAGCCGTTCACTTCCGGTGGCTTCATACCTGTTGGCTCAATGCGCCATCCAGCCCCCTCTAGTGGAGATCAGTGGTAAAAACGTCAATGCAACCGAAATGTTCTGCACATTTGGACTACAAGACGGAATTATAGGCGGCCTTCGCTGCCGCTGAAGCTCAATCAGCTAAACATTAATTTATTAAACAACGTGCGCGATGTGCTCGAAAAACGAAACCGAAAGAAGATGAGTCGGGAGGGCGAAAGCTTTTTCCCGTATGCTTGGAGAAGGAGGAAAACGTCTCGGTGAATAATAAGGACTTTAATTTTCCTTTCCTCGGTCTGGGTTTGTTTATGTGTGTTTTGTTAAATAAAAAAAAAAAATCTTTTCAGAAAACAAAATAAAAAAAAAAAACCGCTCCTCTAGGGATCGAACCTTTGACCACTTGGTCAGTAGCACTAGCGCGATGTTTTACCTCTGCGCCAACTGAACAAGGAGGAACTCGCCCTCCTCCTTTCATCTGAATTGCCGTTCCTCCCTTCTCTGGGCAACTTGTCCGCAACAAGGAGGAACAGTCGCTGTTGCTACCTTTCTGCTCCTTTTTTTCTTAGAGTGCAATATCACAGTTAAGAGGGTGATAATTTTACACCGCGTACTCGGTATTATATTGAAAAGTGGACGAGTTTTTTTAGTTTTTTTTTTACATGGTTTCGTCTTTAAGTGTTTTTTTTATAATAGGCTCTATTGTAGAAGTCATAAATTTTTAAAAACCTAATTGAAAACAAAATGTGTAGAAAAGCTCTCGTCCACCTTTTGGCAGTGGCGTAGCCAGGATTTTATTACGGGGAGGGGGGGAGGAAGCTTAAAGCCCCCCCCCCCCCCCCCCCCCCCCCCCCCCAGTGACGACTGGTGAGCTCGGCGGTACGGACGCTCGGGCAAAGATTAGGTAGACGCTGTTAAAATAAAACAGCTAAAGCTGCATTGACATTTTTTAAAACGGAGCAGGCTTCATTCACAGGAATACGGGCGTGATGGCTCACTGCTCTACTGTCATCGTAGCTGCGGGCGCGGCTGACCAACTTCACTAGCTTCCTCACAGCACACAACTCCCCCCGCTTTTTGAGGTAGCACTGCAATACCAACGCGTGAAGGCCAAAAGAAACACAAGAATTGCTATACTGTCACAAAAAAAAAATTGAACAGTAAAGAAAAAAAAAGATGTTGACGCTGAAAAATGAGAAAAAGTGACCACGCACAAACACTAGGGGCCCATATAGAGGGCGAAGGTAATCCTGAACAATCACAAAACCAAAATCTATTATTTATTAAAGGTTTAACAAATTCGTGCAACAGAACCAGGTGCCGAAAGAAAGAGAGTCTTATCTTTGCTTGATCGCTATATCTTGCAGCGTGGTTCAAAGGCAGCAGCAGCGTCTCCTCGGGGTGAGGAGAAGTTATCACACCACACACAAACACGCAAACCACATACCGAACGTGGAAACGAACTTGACCACCCGTGCGCCTATGCGTAGTAAGAATATGAAGGCTTGTATCTTCGGAGTTTCTGATGTTCTGTGCAAAAAAGAGATTAGTATAATAAGGAATTGCATCAGATGCCACCTTGACAACGAAAGCAGAAAGCAAGACGGGCTTCATCGCACCGGCGAGCGACCATCGACCACTGGAGGGATATTTTGCAAAGTGAGGGAAATTTTTCCAAAAATTAGGAGATTTTAGGCATCCAATGCAAAAGTGAGAAACGTGAAACGCCCGTCACGTCTGCGCCATAAGCGGTCGCCGTCTGACCGGAAGCCTTATTCCGGAACGTTCAAAGTCTCCTAGAGATCCTATCGCGACCCTGCCCGTAAGAAGGGCGGAAGCTGAGCGCTCGTTCTCTTCACTACTGGTTGAAAACATACCTGAGGCCGCCCACTTCGAATGAGGGACTGCTCGGCATAGCGCTTTTGAATGTTCACCGCGACATTCAAGTTCAAGCGGAGGACGTCGTGGATATTTTTTTTTTTTTTGCCGTGAATGCAGGCGGCTGCATCTTATGATGTAGGCGCTTGGCATAAATGAGATGGCCAAGTGAGCCTGTAAATTGCTTTTTGAAATAACTAGTCAAAGTTACCTTTTTATTCGTGGTAATTTCTAGTTGAAAGCACGTAATTCTGATCAGTACACAACGTGTGCTTCAGCGCAGCGCCACCAGTTGTTTACACTGCGATTGTTTTTACAAATCATTTTATATTTTTACATCACTGACATTGTTTTACATTATCACCATGTGTTGGTTTTATTATGTTCACTTTGGTTTGATTGAAGTGTGTATTTCAGGGACATTTTCCTAAAACAGGGTATTTCAAGGTAAAGTATGACATTTTTGTCATACCTTACCTTGAAATTGCCATCCTTCAACCCACAATATCCGTTCTCTGTATATCTGAGATCAAGTTCCGCATCCCATCAAATAAACATGAATGAAGCAATATTGCCTTTTTTTATTTATTTGAGCATTTTCTACCCCAGAAACATTTTTTCCCGGTCCCCCGTTGCTCCTAGGGAGCCTTCATGTGCGCACATGAAGGCACCCCAGTTGCTCCGTGCCTCGCGCAAAACCGACTGCGTGAACAGGGGAGCGAGTCGGTCCCGGGGGAGGGGGTAAGCTTCGTCATTTTCAGGGGGGGAGTGCGTGCCTACCCTTGAACCCCCCCTCCGCGTATGCCGGTGCCTTTTGATAGCTGTTACTTACCCAACGCGTGCGTGTACCAGGATGATCTGGGTACTTTGAATAGGCTGCGGCGGATCATGTTCGGTGAAACAAGTTGAATGGGCCAATGTGTAAATAAATGAGTCGATATTTGACAAAATGACGCAAAACTGACGCGCCTGTATATACTTTCGTTATTCGCATTCAGGTATCGTTTGAACGCGGTTTTCTCGTCTCCATCCCCTCTCCTCTTGCCATCAATGCACAACATCAAAAACGTGCATTTCTCTTCTCTTTAGTCTGTTCTTTGTACTGTACTGTACTGCAAAAACGTCTTGGCTTGTTTTTTTTTTTTTTTTTTTTTTTTTTTTTGCAGCTAACGTTTTTGTTGTAGAATGGGGGTTGTCAAAACGACATAGTTTGGGACCGCACTTCGAACCACTAAAAATTGCACGGTCCATAGCATTTACCTGGATCGACCTTACTACATTAATTGCCGCAATTACCGGTGGTTTTGGCATTTTATCAAGACGTTGGTAGTATATTTGACGTGCGTAAATGGCCGTTACTGTTATATCATACTCCTTCTGCGATGATTACACTGTGCGGATTAAATGAATAAAAATTAGTATAAAAATGAATTGTTCCGGTGGCAATTGCCTCTAGGCTCCAGAAGCAAGACCTGGAGCACCGTGCATCGAACGAGATCTACCGCACCAAGGTTGCCCGGATGTTCAGGAAGACCAACTACATCTCCAAAGTGGTGAGGACTTGTTCCTTCATTCAGGTCATTCTTTTAGTAGCGCCCAAGAGGAATTATCTCGGGAGCATGGTCAAGATGAGTGCTAACTTTGTAAGAATTGTCCATTGTGCACATGCACAGAAATGTACATTTTTGTGTATCTATGTCAGGGGTGGCCAAGCTGCGGCTCTTCGCGTCTTAAAGTACGGCTTGCGGCTCCACCCCCTACCCCCCCCCCCCCTCCACACCCACACGCACACACTCCCCGTTCTCCCTCCCGATCAGACGATCACTTCCCCAAAAAGAGAAATGCAACGCGTTTTAAATCGAAAGACAGGTTGCAGTTTGGTAGTCACGTGCTACTGGTACCTTACGTACAGATGGACTGCTTTTGACTTGGATAGATTTATCTTTTATTGTTCTGGACAAGATTCCCCCCCCCCCCCCCCCCCTCCCCCCTGCGGCTCTTGGAAGTTTCGTGGTTTTGTTTGCTATGTGCATGTTTGTTTTTCCCTGATAGTTCATTATTGCCTATTAAGAAACCAAATAAACACGACAAGCAGGCAGATACGTAAGCATAGAAAAGCTTTGAAATCAAACACTCCCCCCCCCCCTTCCCTTCCCAAATCCCCCCCCCCCCCAAAAAAAAAAAGAAAGTTCGTTTTAATATTTTTATTAGAGATAGACAAACCGTATACGATGTCACGCCATAGAAGGAATCAAATTTTATTTCGGGATTGTCCAGAATTATATTCGGCAGAGTAATAAAAAAAATGCGCACCTAGACGGCTAAACAAAACGCTCATATGAGAAAAAAACAACCACCTTGATACTAGGGACAACAATTTAACAACACAGCACCGTCTCAAAACATAGCTGCAAAATTTCTCACAACTCCTCAAAGAACTCTAATGCCAACAACTGTCAACCTCAAACACAGTCAGGTGGACAAGGTCCAAGTATAGACCTTTTTTTTCGTTTACTCTGGTCCCCAGCCACCTTGTAGGCATATCCTGTATGGGCGTCAAAAAAACAGTGAAACATTTCATCCTGCAAATAGTAAAATATTAAAGGTTAGGGGAAGGACGAACGAGAATGGGTGATGGTTGCTCGAATCCTAAATGTATTCTGTTGGCGTGGCGACGGCAAAACTATGTTTTAACCCATACTAGAACTCAAAATCTTTTAAGATGGCGGCGCCCCTATGGAAAAGGTTTATAAGGACCTTAGATCCAAGCGGTCAAAAAAGAACCCTCTCCCCTAAAACTGTCAACCCCACAGCAGCCAGGTAAACAAAACTCAAGCAACTGGAAAAAAAAAAAAAAAAAAAGTAAAGGGATAGAGAGAGAGAGAGGAAGAAAGAGAGAGAGACGCGTACCTGACTGTGTGTAGAGGTGACGGCTGTTGGTGCTAGGGTCGTTTGAGGAGTTGTAAAATACATTTTGCAGCTGAGTTTTGAGATGGTGGTCTTCATTTTTTGTCCCTACTTGGGGACAATTTTTCCGGGCTAAGAAGCCAAAGATATATGGGTACCCGTGCGCTCGAGCACATTGGACACCGATCACAGATGCGCTCGAGGGATCTCCACTTTTCGGGAATGTCAGCAAAAAGTATCCCCAAATATAATCTCTTTTTTTTTTTTAAAGATTGTTTACTAGCATACCTGCGCAGTAACCCTGATTTCAGTAGACAGAGTGGTCGCTGTGATCGGTCCGAAAGTTGGATTTTGTTGTCTTATTTTTTGGTCGGGCCCGTGATAAAAGGGCAAGCGCAATTGGCACAGACGAGAACATGAAGTAGACAGGATAGCGTTAATTCACGTCCACGTCTGTCCCTTGGAACTTTATATTTTCAGTATGTTGATTTAACTATCCCACTTTAATATTTTTTAGACTGATTAATATATCTGTCTGATTGGTAAGGGGAGGGAGAACCCCCAAAAATATGCAGTCACAATTCTTACTCAACAATTATTTGGTTCCTCACCATCTTGGTCGCAATGACGATGATCTTGATGATTTATTAGAACCCCCTTTGTAATGGGGTGGGTGACCCAAACGAGCGAGCTCTACATTTATCCGTAAAGTTATCTCTAAACTCTCTCCATTTATCTGACAAAAAAAATGAAAGCCGCTTACAACTCCCTGTAACGCCGAATTAGAGCGCAGCTCTTGAGGAGGAGGAGGGAAGGGCACTGGGGGGGGGGGGGGGTTAAACTAACCAGGGGGGGGGTCACGTTACCTTGGGGGTCACGTGACCCCCAATGCCGATGATGTCATCACTGACGTCACTGATGACGTCATCAGTGACGATGACGATGCGGGTACCGATGACGTCATTAGTGACGTCACTGATGACTTCACCAGTGATGATGACGATGACGATGCGAATGTCGGTGACGTCATCAGTGACGTCGCTGATCACGTCATCAGTGATGATGACGATGACGATGCGGATGCCGGTGACGACATCAGTGACGTCACTGATGACGTCATCAGTGATGATGACGATGACAATGCGGATGTCGGTGACGTCATCAGTGATGATGACGATGACGATGTGGATGCCGGTGACGTCATCAGTGATGATGACGATGTGGATGCCGGTGACGTCATCAGTGATGATGACGATGACGATGTGGATGCCGGTGACGTCATCAGTGATGATGACGATGACGATGCGGATGCCGGTGACGTCATCAGTGATGATGACGATGACGATGTGGATGCCGGTGACGTCATCAGTGATGATGACGATGACGATGTGGATGCCGGTGACGTCATCAGTGATGATGACGATGACGATGCGGATGCCGGTGACTCATCAGTGATGACGATGACGATGTGGATGCCGGTGACGTCATCAGTGATGATGACGATGACGATGTGGATGCCGGTGACGTCATCAGTGATGATGACGATGACGATGTGGATGCCGGTGACGTCATCAGTGACGATGACGTCATCGGGGGGTCACGCGACATCGGCGGGGGTCACGTGACCTCGAGGAGGGGGCCACGTGACCTCAGGGGAGTCACGTGACTTCGGGGGGTCACGTGACCCCCCACGAGGTCACGTGACCTTGGTGGGGGGCTCGCGCGGTGCATTATGGGACATTTCCCATGATGCACCGCGCGGTTACGCCGACGCCGACGGCGACGGCGACGGCGACGCCGACGCCGACGGCGACGCCGCTCAAGTCGGAAACGGGCCCCTAAGAGCTGCGCTCTAAAAGTTAAAAGCGATTAACGGGAATTTTCAACGAGAAATAGTGACAGCTACAGAGAAAGGGCCCCATTTTTTATAGAAAAGTTACCGAAGGTAGTTTCTTTTGGATACCAGAAATTTAATATCGGGTCTCATTTTTTTAAAAGAAAATTGTGAGAACACTTGGGCTTCTTTCGCAACAATTCTAACGTTACGGCGTTTTCAAGTCTCATAATTTAATCGCTCACTATAGCTGTTCGTGAAGGCGCCGCAAGTAGGGGGTGAATTTTGTACTCGAAAAACCGGCTTGTCTTTCATCTTTCTCAGGATAAATGCTTCCCGAGTCTATCCTTATTAGAGCGCAGCTCTTAGGGGCCCGTTTCCAGCCTGAGCGGCGTCGCCGTTGGCGTCGGCGTCGCCGTCGGCGTCGGCGTCGGCGTCGGCGTCGGCGTAACCGCGCCCCTCCCTCTCCTCCTCCTCCCTCTCCTTCTCCCCCTCCTCCTCCCCTTCTCCTCCTCCCCTCCACCTCCCCCCTCTTCCTCCTCCCCCTCCTTCTCCTCCTCCTCCCCTCATTGTCCGGCTTGAGCGGCAAGGAGGAAAGCAGTACGAAGGTGGAGGAGGGGGGAGGAGAGACGAGGAGGCGGAGGCGAGGGGAGGGGAGGAGCTTGAAGGACGAGGAGGTGGTAAAGGAGAGGGAGGGGGAGCAGGAGGGGAGGAGGACTAGCAGGCATGATCACGAGGGAGGAGGAGGAATATACCCTCCACTCCTCCTCCTCAAGAGCTGCGCTCCAATTCGGCGTTACAGGAAGTTGTAAACGGCTTTCACTTTTTTTTCTCGAACATTTTGTTTTGTCGAGGCATTTGGCGATATTTACATTTCTTTTTTATTTTGAATATTCAGACGAATACTTTAAGAACTATATATCTGAATACAGTTACAACAGTTCGATTTATAAATAGGCTCCTTCGTGAAGTCAGTTCCGGATCCTATGCTCAGCGAGCGCTTCAATGACGCAGCACTTTACATATTCACTGGTAACATACGAATATTCATTAGCTTAGGAGTAAGACGATGTGTTTTGAGAGTTTATTTGTCGTTAATTTCGGAGTATGTTTTTGGGGAGTTCATTTTTTTGCTGAAAATTCGGGTTTTTTAGGAGTTTATAGTTTCCCGATTCTCTGCAATTCGGATATCAATTTTTTTCGGTTTCTAATTTTTCAGAATTAGAAATAAGGATAAATAATATCCGGACACAAAAGTACCTTTACAAAATTCGTAAAAAAAAAAAGAAGAAAAAAACTCACTAAGAATTATTTGTTTTATTTGGTTAAAGCGGCGACTTTATTCTTTCCTTGTTCAGTTTGACATTTCTGCACCGAATGGAGTGTCCGCAGCACCATTTGGCATTGGCGCCCGCCATTGCCACTACCGACTGTCCCACGACAAATCTTGCAATGCATGGAATGTCGATACCGTGAAATAACTAAACACCTGGACACAGTCTAGCGTCTATAGGGAGCGCAAGTTCGTCTGATTCTTGCACACGGGCTGCGATGATGTCAGAACGTCGAGCTCTTATTGGCTGTTCGAACAAAAATAGTGGGTAGACTTCGAGGCATCCAGCATTTAGGTCTAGCCACTATCCTTTCAATAAAAGCCAATCGGAGCTCAGCGTCTCTTTGTCGTCATAGCAACTCCTGCCCAAGAAGCAGACGACTCTGCCTTCGCATAGGCCCTCCATCGAAGCGCTTCGTGCTCTGTGTCCCAGCACAGGATGTGTTTTTAGGTCTAAACATATTTCCGGCCTCGTGATTGCCCCAAGCTCTCAACGCAGACTGTAACGATTGGCTCGCTCGTGTGTTTTGTGGGAAAGCAGACGCTCCGGACTTCTTAGTCATGCGTACAGTCGTTGGGAAGCGAGAAAGCTGCCCTGGCATAAAATATACAGGTTCGTAGAGACCTTTGCAAAAATTGCCTTCTGCGGGCTGCCATCTTTGTCTGCTGGGCTGTGGATCGCCTTCTGAGCATGCGCTGTTGGTCTGCTGTGCGGTATATCAGATGCTGCGCATGCGTTTACAGCTCAGTGACTCAGCATTCGAGACTGCCGTTGGAAAGGTCTATAGCTTCCAACGTTATTTATTTATTCATTTATTTCTTTACATACCTCGAAAGGATCTAAAAGAAATTACATAGAGGGGGGTGTCTTATAAACTGTTACATAATCATACAACAAGGTTTCACAAGAAAAACAAAAACAGAAAACATCGTGTCACGCTAACCAGAACCACGAAGGGAAGACATATTGCATAACAAAAAAGCCAGACACGCACTCACGTCATTGGAGGCAGTCGACGTGCTAGAAAGAACAATAAAGCAATAAATAAACTGCCAGCGAGCGACTAAAAACATACAGTGCAAGATATGATTCAGTCACCCTAAAGATTCACGCAATAACAACATAAAAGTATCATGATCAGTGACCGTCGGAATTTCGCTTGCCAACTCATTCGATTCGGTCGCCGCTTGTACGAACGGAGAATATTTGAACAGATTAGTTCTTGCAAATGGAATATGAACTTTGTAACAATGATCATGACGAGGGGAAATGCGAGCCGGTAGGAGAATGTTGTTTTGACGGAAATCTGAGGAACTATGATAGAGTTTATGAAAATGGGATAACCTTGCGAGGTATCTTCGCTGGTAGAGCGTCAATAAACCAAGTGAACTCTTAAGTTCTAGATTATTACTTAAATATTTTTGATGCGGGTTTCAAATTATAGCTGCATATTCCAGCTTTGACCTAATGAGGGTAGAGTACGTAATTATTTTGGTTTCTGCTGTTGCCATATATAAATGCCTTCTAAAGAAACCAAGTGACTGGTTAGCGTTCCTAACCGCCGAATTCAGAAACCTCACTCAAACTACACTCAAACTGAAGGGCCCCTCCACTTCCTCGAGGAAGGCGCGAGGGTCGGCGCTGGCCAATCGCGAGGACGGATCCGCCGTCGCGATTGGCCAGCGCCGGCCCTCGCACCTTCCTCGAGGACCTGGAGGGGCCCTTTAATTTAAGTGTAGTTTGAGTGAGGTTTCTGAATTCGGAGTTAACGATATAATCTAAATGAGTGTTCCAGGAGAGGTTGAAAGTTAAATGAACTCCTAAATATTTATATGTGAATAATTTATCTAATTTTGAATCTATAACTTTGTAGTCGTATTGAAAAGGTGAGCGACGATTGGTAAATGTCATTGTTTTTGTTTTATCTATATTTATCTGCATTCGCCACGTGTCACACCATGAAAGTATGATATCCAAATCACTTTGAAGAGTTGGGCAGTCGTTTTGACTAGCTATTTGACGATATATACCACACAGTCGTCTGCAAATAGGCGAATCTGAAGAAATGTTGTTGGGGAGGTCATTTATATAAATTAAAAACAAAAGTGTTCCAATAACAAATCCCCGAGGGACACCAAATTTGACATGTATAGGTGGTGAGGTGATGTCATTTGCAATTACTGATTGATTTCTATCGTGCAAAAACTCATGAATCCAAGTAATTACCTTATCATTAATTTTGTGATATTGCAGTTTTTTTTTATCAGACGACTGTGTGGTACACGATCAAAGGCCTTTGAAGAGTCTATAAAAATATCGTCGATTTGTGCGATTGAGTGAGTATGCAAATCTGTTACCAGTTCAAACAGTTGGGTTTTGCACGAAAGACCACGTTGAAAGCCATGCTGATTGGGAAATGGCAGGTTATTTGAGACTAGCTGTTTCATAACAGATTAATATTACATGTTCTAAATAAAAGTTTACAAGAAACAAAGGTCAATGAAATTGGTTTAAAATTTGTTGGACAATTTCGATTACCAGATTTATAAATCGGAACGACATTAGCCGATTTCCATCCGTTCGGAATGCGACTGGTATCAAGCGATTGCTGGAATGAGCTGGCAGGCACGGCACCTGACGCACGCCTTGTTAGCTTAAGCAACTTCAAGCATACGCCATCAGGACCCGAGCTGGATTTTTTCGGCAAGCGGTCGATGGCACTGATGACACCACCAATATTAATTTGCACATCGTCCATTTCTGAAACGACGATTGTAGGTGTAACATGGAGGTCAGATAAAGGGAGCTCGTCGGTAAACACTTCGCCGAAGAATGTGTTAAGTTTCAAAGCTGACTGGGATGCAGAAAGCTTTACGTCACCCTCTTGAAGTAAAGGAAATGTTTTCTTTTCTTTGCATGCCAGAACTTCTTTGGACTGGTTTTTAGTATGCTAGATAAATCGTCGTTGAAAAAACTATTCTTTGCTTTTCTTATCTCATTGTTTGCATAAGCGCGCACAATCTTCGTGCGACTGCCAGTCACGGTCTGCATTTGAAAAACTCGCCTTTCTGAAAAGTCTCTTCTTTTTGAAGATCAAGCATTTCACGTTTCGGGAAAACCAGGGACAACCCTCACTCGGGGTAATGACCAACTTAGGAGAAAAGCTTCACGTGTATAAATTAGTTTGTTTTTTATTGAGACACACAACCCCTCCTGCCCCTAAAGGCCCTGTCACACTGAGGCAACACGACGGCAACAGCAACACAACACGTTGTCCAACAGTCGGGCAACTTGTTGCTCGCTCCCCGTGTTGTCCGACAAAGCTGTCACACCGCGGCAACAGCACGACAACATGGACGACAACTAAAATGTTGCCTCGGTATGACAGCTTTCGGCAACAAAAACAGCAGCAACTTGTGTTGGACAACGAGTGTTGCCCTGATCGCTGGCTGAGCGAATTTCGGGCCGGCAACACGACAACATAGATAGCTTCGATGGTAGAGTTTGTCCCCTATCAATAAAGTTTTACTCAAACAAAGGCTTGGAAAACGTTATTTAACAATAATTAGGGCTGGCGTGCAGCTAAAATATTTTCGATTAATGTTTTTGCTGCGTAGTTACGGAAAGCGATTTTCGAAATGGTCCCAGCTACGGTCGTGAACGTTCAGACTGGTTTTGAAATTGGAACTCCCGAGAGACCAGCACACATTACGGAAAGTGAAATAAAATGGCATGCCTACTCACCCACTAATAAAGTATAATAAAAATAATCCAGAAAACCTAAGATTAAAAAATCGAAGCATAAAACGATCACTCTGATCATGACTGTTGATGCTTGGAACTTGGGAACAGCCGCTACCAGACACCTGATTTGTTTTAAAAATACCCAGGTCGTTTTGTCTGAATGAAGCGATCACGTAGCAGCGGTAGGCCAGTAGACAGCGTTGAAAAATATTTATTTCACCGATTGTTATGAAGGCCGATGGTGTCGGTGTCGCAGTTTTGAAGCACTGTCAGTTCAGCTCAACACCACGTTACAAAAGACGCTTTGGGGTACTGCCGGTGCTAACGCAATTTTACAGTAGAAATAGAAATTGCGTGAAAGAACCGGACAGAATCACTTCATACGGTGGCGTAAATCCCGAACATACCTCAGCGATGTCACTTTCCTCGGTTAGGGCTATCTGCTTTGTCAGCGAATGAAGAACATTTCGATAAAATAAAGAGCAAAAAATACTCCCTGTGTCAAGTTTTCTAATCACAGTCACTGGTTGATGTCGTACCGTGGTAATTCCCGGCCCCTCGAACGCACTAGCACTTTGTAGAGTCACATTTCCAGCGATTCCGCGCCGCACACGAACGAAGGTAAACAATCAAGATGGCGGAGTATTCCCCGTGTTGTCCTCGCCGTCAGCGCGGTGTGACAGGGTTGTCGGACAACAAACCGGGCAACACGGTTGCCGGGCGGCAGCAACATGTTGCCCGACTGTTGTTGTTGCCTTGATGTGACAGGGTCGCCGGCAACACGACTTCCCCGTGTTGCCGGATAGAGTTGTCCAACTGTTGCCTCAGTGTGACAGGGCTTTTAGAATCCCAAATAGTACGCTGGAAACTGGAAACAGGAACAGAGGCTTTTGTCGTGACCTAGAAGTACTAGGAGCCGTTGTTCTGAACGAACCACAACAAGACAAACGCTGAACTCCCGCTTTTTTTTTGTTTATATAGTCCGATATTTTAAAGGAAATTCAGGTGGCCTGTCCTCAGGATCACCGACTTTGTGCTCTCACACAATTTATTTGTAAACTACAGTTTTTTTCCCCATTGTGACATTGAAAATTTACCAGCCAGTGTTTTTGGAGTTGTCCGAAAACACGGCACCCTACATAACTCATATTCAATAAATACAAAAAAAAAAAAACTAATTAAAAATAAAACTGACCGTATTTTATGCTTTGTTTTTTTCTTTCTTTGAAATGACGGTTATTTCACTGAAGAAGTGCATGCAGCGTAAAACCAGCTTTTTATCTGTGAAAGCAGAAACCTCGTAGAAACACGGTCCTGTCTTCCTAAAGGATCAAACTGCCTAAAAGCACGGTTACGGTATGTTTCTTTGTAAAAGCGCCACCCATGTAAGAAACGAAACAAAACAAAGCAAAATTCTTCTCTCCGTAAAAAAAGAGAGAGAGAAAAAAAACATGTCGCAATTTTTTGTAAAAAAGGAGTCTCTCCCTTTCTCCCGGCAGGACTTTGTGAGCGGCAAGACAAAGTCACCGTCGGAGCAGCGGGCGTCCTTGGCCGAGGTGGTGATGGCCGTCCAGATCTACAAGCCCATCAAAATGCCCGCAGGGCCACGCAAAGTGCGCATGGGTGGATGCCTCTCGTACAAGGCGAGTATTGAAGTTGCCGCATGGAAGTAGGAAGCTTCTGGAGGCCACGTGACAACACCAGAGGTGAAGACAGGCGTGGCTTCCGATTTGTGTGTGTGTGAGCGTTGTAAGTGAAGAGGGGGGGGGGGGGGGGGGAAAGGGGCCAGGGTTGGGCAGTATCGCGATACAAATGTGTCGCGACTCGCGATAGTATTTCAGAAATACATTTCGTATCTGTATTGCTGTATCGCGATACCTAGCTTTTTTCACCAGTATCTGTATTCCTGTATCGAAATACATTTCTAATGTTTCTTTGAATCGCATAGTTTTCCGACTATAGTTTTCACCTGAAGAACCGCAGTAATAACAGTCCGGCTCCTTGCGGAGCCTTACTAATTTCTAGCTTTTTCTAGAGAATTCCCGTACGAAATTGTCAGATACAGGCCGGAATGAAAAATGCCGGTTCCGCCTAGACCCAAAATTGGGGCACCAGTTTGTATCCAACCTGGAACCGCGCATTTCCAGCTCCAATTTTAAACCCAGGCGGTGCACCGCCGGAATTCCCGCTGCGCTCACCACTGGACTCTACGAAAGTATTTCGCGCGATGCCCTTAGCCGTTACAAGCGACAGATCGTCGCGATTTCAGACCCAGGCTGTTCCGCCTGGGTCTGATGGCCAGGCGTCGTCACCAGACACGGTGCGCAAAACACACACAGCACGCACAAGCACAGTATCCAGTGTTGAGTGCATCGGGAAGTTCCGGCGGGCATGCGGTATCCGAGTTGTCCGAGTATTGTCACCAAGCACACCAGCGCATCCAGATGCCGAGCCAAACTACAATGGGTCGGCAACCTCACACTATAGACCATTCCATTTAGCGCTCTCTGGGCGGCACCATTTTGTTCGACCGCAGCGTCCTCTCTACACATCCGGGAAGTTCAGCGGGTTCGGCGGGGTAAAACGAGAGAGAGGGCACGCGCCCGACTCCGCTAGCAGACGACAAACCGGGAGGTTGCCGTTCTCCATCTTTGGGCTGTATCGGCGGGCTCTACCGAACATCGAACTCTTGCTCGTGGCTGCCGTTGTGAAGTGGTTCGCGTTCTTAGAATAGTTGTGGCTACTCCAAAATCAGCCTATAGCTCTCTGTTGTTCTATTTTGCTAAATGATCAAGTAGCATATCTTTTTTCCGTTACTTAAATAACAGTTGAGTCAGCCGGCAGTACTACCCTCAACTACTGCTTGTATTGCAGCAGGAGAGCACGTTTTATTTATAATTTCAGACTTCCACTCATGGTCGCTAAATTCCTACACCAGTACGAACTTAGTATAGTAAAAAAGGTACAGCAACCGGATTTTCTTTTCGCCAGAGACCGGCCAATCTGACACGGTTTTCACTATTTTTGTTTTTTATTTGCACGCAGGTAATATCGCAATTGGACCCTGTGAGTCTTTTATCTAGCATAGTGTTACACGATAACTGGCATACCAAAATCTGCGCTTTTACCCTCTCTGCTATGACCCTAATGGAAATTAGGGTCATAGCAGAGAGGGTAAAAGAGAAAAAAATGCACTCCCCCTCTCACCCCGCGTTCCGTCCGCTCCGCCGAGTGGGCTGTAGCTAGCGTCCGGCTGGCGTGCAAACTCTGTTTAAAATCGCGCCATTTTGGAGGTTTCAAGCGCAGATGCGCAGATTTTGGTATCCCAGTTGTCGTGTATTACTATGCTAGATAAAAAGACTCACAGGGTCCAATTGCGCTGTTACCTGCGTGCAAATTAAAAAAAAAAAAAAAAATAGGGAAACTGTGTTCGGTTGACCGGTCTCTTTGGCGAAAAGTAAATCCGGTTGCTGTACCTTTTTTACTATCCTAAGTTCGTACTGGTGTAAGCCTTTAGCGACCATGAGTGGAAGTCTGAAATAATAAATAAAACGTGCTCTCCTGCCGCAATACACGCAGTAGTTGAGGGTAGTACTGCCGGCTGACTGAACTGCTATTTAAGTAACGGAAAAAAGATATGTCAGTTGATCATTTACCGAAGTAGAACAACAGAGAGCTATAGGCTGATTTTGGAGTAGTCACAACTGTTCTAAGAACGGGAACCACTTCACAACGGCAGCCACGAGCGAGAGTTCGATGTTCCGTGCTGCCCGCCGATACAGCCCAAAGATGGAGAACGGCAACGTCCCGGCTTGTCGTCTGCTAGCGGAGTCGGGCGCGTGCCCTCTCTCTCGTTTTACCCCGCTGAACTTCCCGGATGTGTGGAGAGGGCGCTGCGGTCGAACAAAATGGTGCTGCCCAGAGAGTGCTAAATGGAATGGTCTATATAAAGATTCAAAGCCGAGGTCAGGGGGTATCCATCCAGGGAAAAGATAGGCGTGTCAGTATCCGTGCGCCCGCAGCGCGAACATCGCCGCCCGGCGAGCGCCGACTGACAGTCCGACGACAGCGAAGAAACTAAAGCGCGATCCAAACCAACGCTTCTTTTTGCGCCTGTAGGTCGTGCGGCTGCGGATCTGACGTATTTTCGTGATGTCGCGCCACTTCTTCGCTCCTTCCGGGCGCGCACAAAAAAGTTGGTTGATTTCAACTTCTTTCTCAACGCGCACAAAAACGCGCGGTGACGTAGTAGGGCGCTCCTGTGTCCCGGCCAATCGGTGGAGGGCAAGCTAGTTCCGGCTCCGCGTTTCTCGCCGTCTGGCTGCCCTCTCCTCCCCCCCTTTTATTCTCTTCCAACATGACAACGCGATCTCTCTCTCTCTCTCTTTCTCTCGACATCTCGCTGGCCAGTCTGTCGCAGTTGCACTTTGCTTGTGCGCGCGTTTTTGCGTGCGCGCGTGCGCGCTCGCCCGAAGTTTCGCCCGTCCAAACCAAAGCGCACGGTTCTGACTCAGAAAGCGCGCCCGGAAACAGCAAAAACGCCACGAAATGCGTCACATCCGCAGCCGCAGGACCTACAGGCGCAAAAAGAAGCGTTGGTTTGGATCGCAAACTGACTAAACTCTCGGCGCTGCGCCGCTGCGCTACCGCCGACTGCAACAGACAACAGACAAAGCCAGGCGCGCGCGAGGAGAACGCCCGCTCGCAGCGCCTGCTAAGCGGATGCGCCTGTCCCTAACACGTGACCATGGCCGACCCCCGACCTCCCCCCCCCCCCCCGTTCCGCCCCTCCTCCAGTCACGCATGTGCGCGCCCGCTGGCTGGGAGCAGACCCTACAGGAACAAGGGGAGCGGATCGGATCCACCGATCACCGTGCGATTCCAGTGCGTTGCGTCTCACTGGATCCGACTGGTCACACCACAATCGCGCGGATCGGAACTGTCCACAAATTTAGAACCCCGCGGATCCGAACTGGAACCGCTCCGATGTGACATTTTCGTACGGGTTCAGATATATGTGGGTAAATATTTTAGATTAGATTTTTCATTTTTTTTTTCATTTTATTACCCTTACATCGCCCATTCCGGGGCTTTACATAAGGGGGGGGGGGGGCGGGTTACAAAATAAGAATGAAAACTTACATAAATACAATACGATTCAACAACTGGCACACAGGTCGTGCGTTTTCAGCGCATCTTTGAACTCATCCGAATAATACGATTCAACAACTGGCACACAGGTCGTGCGTTTTCAGCGCATCTTTGAACTCATCCGAATTTGCTAGAATAACAATGTCATTCGGCAGCTTGTTCCACAGAGCGGTCGACTGTTGCAATTGCGAGTACTTGTATAGATTCGTTCGTGGCGTGGATAAATGAAGTTTGCAACAATTATCAGTTCGCGCTGATATGTGATGCACAGGTTTACAATATTTTTGCTTGATCAACCCCGGGGAATGATAATACAGTCTATGTAACATCATAAGGCCCGCACGAGCTCTTCGGTACTTCAAAAGGGGAATGTTAACTGTATCTTTCATTCCTGTCCAGTACGAAATGATCAGATACAGGCCGGAATGAAAAATGCCGGTTCCGCCTGGACCCGAAATTGGGGCACCAGTTTGTATCCAGCCTGGAAATGCGCAGTTCCAGACTGGTGCCCTAATTTCAAACCCAGGCGGTGGTGTGACCAGGTACAAACTGGTGCCCTAATTTTAGATCCGGGCGGAACCGGCTGGTTCCAGTGGCGGTGCCCTAATTTCAAACCCAGGCGGTGCGCCGCCGGGTCTGAAATCACGACGGCCTATCGCTTGTAACGGCAAAGGGTAGCGAGCGAAATACTTTTGTAGTCCAGTGGTGAGCGCAGCGGTAATTCCGGCGGCGCAGACGGTCGTCCAAGCGTAGTCACGAAGCACGGTGCACGGAACACACACACACAGCACGCACGTGCACAGCATATAGTGTTGAGTGCATCGGGAAGTTCCGGCGGGCAAGTGGTATCCGAGTTGTCCAAGTATTGTCACCAAGCACACCGGCGCCAAGCGCATCCAGATGCCGAGCCAAAGTGCAATGGGTCGGCAGCTTCACACTATATGAAGGTTCAAGGTCGAGGTCAGTGGGTATCCATCCGGGGAAATCGATGCTCGCATCAGCTTCCGTACGCCTGCAGCGCGAACGTCGCCGTCGGGCGAGCGCCGACCGACAGTTCGACAGGAGGGAAGAACTTAAACTCTCGGAGCGTTGCCGCCGACTGCAACAGACAATGCGAGACGCGGGTGCGGAGAACGCCCGCTCGCAGCGCCTGCGTAGCGGATGCGCCTGTCCCTAACACGTGACCTGCAAGAGACCGCCCCCTCCTCCAGTCACTCATGTGCGCGCCCGCTGGCTGGGAGCAGACTCTGCTGGAACCAAGGGAACGGATCGGATCAATTCATCACCGTGCGGTTCCAGTGCGTTGCGTCTCACTGGATCCGACTGGTTCCACCCAGAACCGCGCGGTACCAGATCGGATTCGCGCGGATCTGAACTGTCCACAAGTCTAGAACCGCGCGGGTCCGACCTGGAACCGCTCCGATCTGACATTTTCGTACGGGGTTACACTGTTTTAACGTTTAAAATCTTGAAATATGAAACGCGCAGCTTTGTTTTCTACCGATTCAAGCAGGTCTATTAAGCAAGACTGATGGGGGTTCCATACTGACGAAGCAAATTCAAACTGTGATTTCACAAAATAGTTAAAGGCAATAAGCTTCGTTTCAGGCGCAGCTGACTTCAAATGGCGTTTAATGTAAGCTAACGATATGCTTGTTGTCATAACTATGCTCGTTAAATGGGTTTCTCAGTTAAGGTTAGCTGTCAAAAACACGCTAAGGTAATTATAACTAGTAACTTTCTCTATTACACTGTTGTGAAGTATGCAAGAAAGGTCTTACATTTAGTTGTAAAGGATATACACTTTGTCTTCGTTACATTAACTTCCATATATGGTACCTTATCAAGGCGTACACGTTTGACACGCTGCAAAACATCGCTTCTTCCCGAGACAACCAAATCTTGTAGGAGAGCTAACGCTGGAGAGGAGGTCGCCTCCTCTCCAGCGTTTGCTCTGCTGATGTGGAAAGAGGTAGGGGAGCCTCCCCTGAACTCTTAAAGGGATACTGAACCGAAATTTGAATTTCGCAAAATAAGGCTCTAGAAGCGTTGAACGGGACTCTACGAACTCCGAAACATTGCTCGTACATCGATATCTCAAACGGATGGCTGCACTTTTCGAAAAGAAGGGCGCGATCAAGCGAGGCCTCTGACATCACTGTCCTCCGGGAGAATTCGAGAATGAGCGGGAGCGGCCTCGCTTCTCTCCTCCTCGCTTCGGTTCACCAGCTCGACACGGGACGTAGTGAGGAGGAGAGGGAATAAGAATCGTGACGTCCCTTGCCTTGTCGGCCTCGTCGGCCGGGTTCAGTCGGGCGCTTCTTTTCTAAAAATATGGCGATCCGTTAGAGATATCGCTGTATGAGTGATGTTTTTGGGTTTTGCAACGTCCCGCCTATCTGTCCAGCCTTGTTTTGTGAGTTCGAAATTTCGGTTCAGTATCCCTTTAACCTATTACTGACTAGAGATTTAATTATAGGTTACCTCCGTGATCGCTGTCAGTGTCTATAAATAAATAAGAAGAGATCTGACCTCAGACCACAAACAGCTGACGTGCCGCAAGGTTATATATTCGGGCCACTTCTCTTTAATTTGTACGTAAATTACATTGTAGATGTCAATGATAATGTAAGCTGTATTATTTATAATGGCACGAGCGTATTTTGTTTTTCAGGGAACGACATCGATTAAATTATTGCTAGAGCAAGTTATTGTTTTAATAAGCTGGATGCTTGGACGGTCTCTAACTCTTTAAAAATATAATTCAATAAAACAAAAACACATTTTGTTCATATCTCGAAAAGCAAGTTGCTTGTATACGTTCATCCTTTCTGTTGGTGAGCATACGATGTAAATAATAGAAAGTGTAGAAGTGTTCAGTAGGGGTATATATAGTTAGGCTTCATCAGTACATGATATGGGGACGAGGCGGCGCAACATATATATATACAGGGTGTTTTTTTTTTTTTTTTTTATGCTTAACATAATTTTTTTTCGAAAATAATGCGGTCTGCGCAAGTGAGTTATACGGCCAGGGGGACATAATATAGGAGGCTAATCGTAACGATCAGTCGGCTGATAAGTTAAAATTCGTTAAGAACTTTTTAATTAATGAAAATAGACATATAGTTTTAATTAGAAACTTGCTGGGCGTCATCGAAAACCCCCAAATCAGTCATTTTCAGAAAGAAAATGACTGAGAAGAAATGACACGTGAGAAGCGTAGAAGTGCACTAAAGTTAGCACTCGTGGAGCACGTACAAAGCTAGCGGTTGCGATAAGGCGCCCGCGCAATTTTTCTGCCTCTTATCTAGCCCCAGCCTTGAACCTGCTCCACGAGCGGTAACTTTAGTGCACTACTACGCTTCTCACGCGTTCAAAGTCTTTCTGAAAATGACTGATTTAGTGGTTTTCGATGACGGTGAGCAAGTTTATGATTGGAACTATATGTCTATGTTCATTAATTAAAAAGTTAATTAACGAATTTTAACTAATTAGCCGTCTGATCGTTACGATTATCCCTTTATACTATGTCCCCCTGGCCGTATAACTCACCTGCGCAGACTGCATTAACCTAGCTTTCATGGTTTCTTTTTAAAAATTCTGTAAAGCTTAAAAAAACACCCTGTATATATACACACACACACACATATATATATATACATATATATATATATATCGGTGAGGAGATGGCATACATCTCCTGACGAATCCGAGCTTCTCGGCGAAACTGTCGTAATACATACAATAAACTCCTAGCACAGCAACTCCGCAAGTACAGATCTCTGACCTATATATATGTCAGAAACTGCCCAGAGCTGTAGGTATTATGGACAAATATCCCCATATGTGTCCTTTCCCAACTATCCTTCTTACAACTGTTCACCTAACCCCAGTGCAGGGTACAGCCAGCCAGGACAAAGGTCCAGACTGACCTCTTTGTCTTCTCGTCATTAAAATAAACCAATCAGTGTGTAGCATGCATATATGAGTTAGAAGCGACATCCCCCATGTTGCTACTCTCAGGTTCAGGCGGAGGTGGCGGTTCTCGGTGAACAGACGCTGCAGAGCCTGCGCGAGAAGATCAGCTGCGTGTCGGACGTCCTCTCGCCGGGAGACTTCAGCGAGAACCCGGGCAGGCCCCAGACACCGAAGGCCATGGTGAGGGACTGTTCAGTCTGGCCTCACGTCCTGAGGTCACCTGAGTTAAACACCAATTCACTTTGCCGGCTAAATTTAGCGGAGAAATTGACGTCACCTCACTTGACGTCGTGTGCCCTATAGGAGGAATAGGGGTTTCCCGCTAAATTTGGAGGGGAAATTGACGATACGTGACGTAACGTCACGTGACCTGTGCATCAATTCACTTTAATATCAAGCTAAATATCGCGGCGAAATTAAGGTCACGGGACATCTAAAACAATTCAGTTTCCCAACTAAGTTTAGTAGAGAAACTGGTGTTACGTGGTTTACGCAACAAATCAGTTTCCCCCCTCTAAATTTCGTGGAGAAACGGACGTCACGTGATCTATATGCGCCATTTTAACGGAAAAATTTATTTCGATGTATATATAGATATATAGGTTCTTCACTCCTCGTAGCGGCTGCTTAATGCCTTCTAAACAAAATTAAACGATCTCCCCTTAAATACTGCATATTCTATGCATAATTATATAACTTAAAATATACAGGTCACCGCCATTTTTTTTTTAAATCAACAATTAGCCTTTACAATAATAATATACAAAAGATCAAGGATAAACCTAATAATACTTCTACAAATTACTATCCGCGCGAAGGAAAGCGCCCCCTTCGCCAATGGGTGAGCGCACCCCTTTTTGCCAACTAATCGCCAGGAGACGAACTAGTGTACCAAGATTGAGGAGTGTTCCTTCCAACGGCTCGATCAGGCTCACCTGGTTTACGGGCCGCGTTTGCAATACGAGCTGCGAGGAGGTGACGAACGCGTTGGTTGTCTGCAAAGGTCTCCACCCGCTTACCTCCTTTCCACGCGACAACCCAACACGTGTGCACTTGGGGCCAATTTGCCCACGATGCGTCTGTCATTACATTGCAAAGGCTCTCCGTGTTTTGAGTTGCTTCCTCTCTAAAATATTGGCTCCCTAAAGAATAGTAACTCGAGGCGACGCCACCTAGCGGAAACGACGTGAAAGGGGCCATGAAACGATTTTTCTACTTTCGCTAAGTACTGCTTAGAATCACTCCCTAACGTTAATAACAGGAAATAGACTCGCCTTCGTTCTTCTTCCTAAGCAATGGGAGTCAACGAAGAAATGCGAGTAATATGATCATCGTTCATCCCCTGAACTCGTAGCCAGAAGGAGCGGCCACGTGGTCTGGAGCCTGTCCTATATGCCGCCAACGTTAATCACGTATATCTACGCGCATGGAGTCGGCGAAGTAGAAAACCCGTGCTGAGCTCCAGATATTGTTAGAGTTCGGCTATTCTCAACACCGCAGTGGTTGGACACGACCCACTAGCCGAGTGTCCGCCGAGGCATTGATTGTTACGAGCCGAAGTCGAGTGCTCACGCAGCTCTAGTGTCCATTTCATGAGCCGCGCTTGACTGTCGTCAGGCAGGTGGTTTCGATCCCCCAATGACGTCACCAAGCTTCGCAAAGGCAAGGCTGAAAGAAATAGTCCCCCTTTACCCTCGCAATGTTACCGCGACCAAAAAAGTTTCTGAATCGGTGGCGGTCCGTGCGCGTATACTTTGGCCAGACTAGGACCAGTACGCCTCTGCAAAGTCACGAACAATCGAACCCGATATCGTTTCATGACCCTCTGAAGGAGAGAAGCGAGGCGCTGCCACCTGTCGAAGTGCGCAGCGAAAACTGGCGATGTGTGGAAGAGTGGGAAGGGCATTAGAAGGAAAGGGGTTCAGGGAGGCAGCAGACAGAGAAAGGAAAGAACAGCGATTCTGAGGTCACTCCGATGCGGTGGCACTGCCGTCGGCGCAGACACTTCGCGCGAATGTCGCTTCTGCGCACGCGCAGTGCCCACACCTGGTGGTGGGCAAACGCGGCGTGTAGACTGCGTGTTGGTCCATAGGGACCATTCCACTGCTCACCTTCTGCGCGCTGCCATCTTTGTCGACTGGGCTGTGGAAGACGTTCTGATCATGCGCTCTGGCTCTCCGCGCACGCGTCTACAGCTCAGTGACTTCGCATTTTGGCCGGGGTGAACGCTGGAAGATGTGCAGCCTATACAGGGTGTTTCACCGACTGAAATTAATTTAAATTTTTACACTGAAATTAAGAAAAAAAAAAGATTCCGTACGAATAGTGATTTTATTTTAAGTATTTTTTTGGATGCTACGTAGACGTCAGACAAACCACGATCTACTTTGCAGCTGTACCCAGGGTGTCGAACCGGAACCGAACCGAACCGAAAACCGGAACAGAACCGTTATTTTTAGCCAAACCGGAACTGAACCGAACCGAAATCTTTGCCGCCATCTTGGAACTGAACCGGAACCGAACCGAAAAAAATATAACGGTAACCGGTTCAAAACGGTTCAAGGTAATATTTCTTTTTTGTCTCTTCTGTTAGTATTACAAAATGAACATATGTGAATAAAAAATTGGCGGCTGTATTTCTATCTATGGATCAAATCGTCATACACAGAACTGAAAAGTATGGTAAGTTGTGGGTTTTCATGACACTATGATTAACCATGTGTCACGTTGTCACGTGACGCCATGGTGTCAATACATGTTATCACGTGACCTCGTGACGTCACGTGACTCACTGCGTCAACTCGATTTCATTTGAGAAAGTCACTATATTTATTAACATTGTTGACAGCATGACGTAACATGACATCACGATTTCGCAACGAGAGTCACGTCACACCGTGACGTAAGCGATTTTCATAACCCCTAGTCGATCGCTCTGGTTCATGAAAATCAGCACCGCCAAACATTCGGGTGACGGCTCATGTCAATTACTAATGGTAATAGCCCAACCCTGACCATATCTGAAGCTCGGCCCAAGCTTTTGCTTTCCAAACCCTAGCCGCCTAGAGCATGACTGTGATCAACACTGGCGGTAGAGGAGATATCGACAGCTGTCTCTTTCTTTTATTTTTTCTGCATCTGCTATTAGGGGAAAACTAATGGATGTTTCCTCAAGCTATCAACGGTGGGGTTTATTGCTTAACGCTATTTATTGAAAGTATAAGAAAAAATGTTGCAAGACCCATTTTACACTATTGAGGCACCCAAATATTTTTTTCGTTGTTGCTGAACTGCATCCGAAAGACGTCCCTGAGAATAGAAGTACTGGAATTACTAAATACGACTTATTAATATGACGTTACATAGAACTAAACGTTTGTACGGAAAGAATTAAAAAAATAGGATATTTTAGTGACCTCAGAGAGACAGCCGAACGTTGGCAGTCGCTGTAAGTCTCACACAAGCGTCGTTCTAAAGTTATTGCACAAGTTTCGACTCTTTCTGCACATGCTTAAAGGAGCTATAAAAATATTTCTATACATTACTAAATACTACTCAGGATAACTCCCTAACGTAATAACTGCTTGAACTTGGCTTTGCTCGTTTTTCTAGGCAATGGCAGTCGCCAAAAAATTCGAAAAATATGAGCATCGTTCATCTCCTCAACTCGGAGCCAGAAGCGGCCACGAGGCCTGGTGCCTATCTTATGCCGCCAACGTTAATCATACCCCCGCGCTGGAATTTTAAAGGAAGAAAACGCGTGCTCAGCTCCAGGCATTGTTAGAGTTTGGCTATCTTCATCACCGCAGTGGTTGGACACGAGCCACTACCCAAATGCCTGCCAAGACATTGAGTGTTACGAGCCGATGTACGGTGCTCACGCAGTCCTCCTGTCCAATCCATGAGCCAACCTCGACTGTCGTCAGGCGGGTGGTTATGATTCTACAATAGCGACATCAAGCAAGCAGGGAAGGCAAGACTAAAAGAAATAGTCTCATTTAATCCTCGCAATTTCACCGCGACAAAGAAGCTTCTGAATTGGTGGTGGCCTGTGCGAGTATACTTGGGCCAGAGGACCAGTACGCCTCGGAAAAGTCATGAACATTCCAACCCGATGTCGTTTTACGACCTATCTAAACTTCACGTGGTGCAAAATAAAAGCAATGAAGGGTTGCGGTTAACAAGTGTCAAATAAAATTGTCGAATGAACACACACAAATGGAGGAGGCAATTCCTCAGAAATACTTTCAGCCTTTCCACTGTGGCGACGAAGGAAGACCAGCGAAGCTGTACTGTCGTGGGAATGAAGGAATGGCCGCCCGCAAGTCGGCAAGCCCGAGTGGAAAGGCTGGACAGCTACCGCTATCTATGAGCGACGGTGGCAACCAGACAACCGACAAGTCGGTTGTCTGGTTGCCGTCGTCATTTATAGATGGCGGTAGCTGTCCAGAGTTTAGTGTCATCATTTGTTTGCTGACGGTCACGACACTGAGGAAGCTAGCCCTTAACAGCTCTGCTCTATAAAGAAGTGCGCGCGTGTGTGTGTGTGGGGGGGGGGGGGGGGGTAAGCGGGAGAGGGGGAGTTTTAAAAGCATACTGTGTTGTAAAGGTTCCTCTTCCCTGCATCTTTGGCGCAGACCAAAAAGCGTGACTCCGGAAGCTACTTTGCTTGCAAAAACGCTCTTACCAAAAAGCACGTTTTTGTCGTGCCAGACGCTCGCGCCGTTCCTAGTGAAAATCGTCTGACTCGCAACTAAAGGGTTGTGGGATCGAATCCCACCAAAAAATTCTTAATTTTTTTTCGTTAAGGTGAAATAATTACTTTCAAAAGTGAAATTATTTGAGACATACGGCGACCTTTAATTCGCATTACATGTCATGTTTTAATCACTCTCATTCTACGCGTGATGTCACGTTTCACATGAGCATTGTGGGAAACTTGAAATTCTTGCGCGAGGGTATGCAGCTCTCACCCCATGAACCTATCGACCCATCAGGATTTTCCAGTCACGCCACCGACGTCAGCTTTTTTGCGACATGAGCTCCTTAACGCTGTCGAGTTAAAATCATCAGTTAGCAAAGGTGATGCTCATTTGCAAATTAAATTGACCGGCATGTTGTCAAGAACAAACCTCAACTGCCAGGCTATGCCAGTTTGTTCTGCAGAAGAAAATATTCACTTGGGCAAGCGCTATTTTGGGCCAGATTCGATCTGAGTGTGAAGGTGAGTATAGAGTGAATAATTGCGATTACTTCTTGCTGCATGATTAGTGGCACGCATGCGGTGCTGAGTGTAAATAATGTTTGGTTAGAACAACAAGCATTTGGATTGCCGCACGGTGTTTCTATAAAAGAAATAGACTGAAAGGAATTATCCTAAAACTTTTGTAACATTCTGAAAATTTCATTGCTTTTAGCTCAGTTGTGTCGTCAACATATAAATATATATTGTGGAGTGTATTTTGTAAACCTTATTTCATAAGTAGCATGAGCACCGAGGTGCTCATTTCATAATTTTATGGGATGTAATTAGTTCCGTAGTTCAAGGACAGAATCGCGATTTCCTTTTTAACACTGCGACACAAATTTGTACCAACCACGGGTATTTTAGGCGACCTACCACACTTTGCGACACCATTTTATACCGTGTAAATAGATCAGCTTGAACTTTAGAATTTTACTTAAACACGAAGAAAGCACAATAAAATACAGTATAGTTCTAAATTTGAAGATGATGTATCTACATTTGTGTACCAACCAGCTCAACTTTTTACACTTGTACTTAAACATTTTGATTCAGGTAAAATATATGTTACTGGTAAACAAAGGGATGTTGAGTCGTATGAACACGACGTTATGTACGTTAATGTAGATTTTATTCCACTCTTGCGTCAAAATTAAATAACTGAATTTCATATTTTGGTACCTAAAACAAAAGTAAATTGGACAGACGATCGAAGAAACTATATAGCTTATCGTTTCCCGGCGCAAATAGTGTATATTGCAAGAACAACGCGAAAAATATATTCTCAATTTAGCGGTTCAAACCGGTTCGAACCGGTTCGAACCGGTTTGAACCGATATTTTTCCTCCCCGGAACTGAACCGGAACCGAACCGAAAGCCGTGAACCCGAACCCGAACCGAACCGATAAAAATTTCGGTTCGACACTCTGGCTGTACCACAGGACGTTCACAGACCACCCAGACCTGGACCTGCAACCTGGTTTGCTGTAGTTTGTGCCAGCGGCGCCGAAACAGAGGGGGTTGGGGGGAGGGGGTGTATGAACAACTTTTACGAATAAACAGACGTTTCATATAGACACGTACACGTTTCGTCGACACCCGTTTTGTCGAAACTGTAACGTATACACAAGCTCTTGCGACGTTTTGTCAACAGTGCTCTGTTTTTTTTTCGTTGTTAAGTTGATTAAGTTGCATGGATTACTGGCTTGACCTTGTTCCCTGGAAGTGCCGGGACTAAAGCGAACTCACCCAGACGGCGGCTACGATTGGGGGAAAACAAGTTAACGAGACTTGATCCCAAGCTTCCCAACGCGCGGTCACCCCCGCTTCTCTCCGCTCCTCTCGGGATGAAAAATTGAATGGAATCTCAAGTCCGAGCTTTCAGCTGCAGGTTGAATGGGAACCGCTAAGGGTTCGGCCAGCTAGGCTACCATCCGGATGCCGACGACGGAGACGATGTGGGCGGAAAGACGTTTCCGACGACACGTCGGAAGGTGTGTCGATCAAAGGAACACGGGAACTGTCGACAAAATGTTGCAGCGTCGACGAAACAATATGTCGATGAAACGTCGTTCTACGAACTGATTGGCACCAACCAACCCCAACCCCAAGACATTTTTGATTCCAGTACACGATCCGAGGGAACGGGAGGGAAATTTCCCTTCCCCTCCCGTGGACCCCTATGCTCCGAACACATCCAACGCCTCTGACTGTGGTCTTTATTTTATCTTTTTTTTTTCTTCCAGGATTTGTACAAGTCTGGATTCTTTTTCATCGGTAATACTTTCTACAACGACATGTCAAGCTCATCTTGCAAGGACTACAGCCAGTGAGTCACCTTTGCGAATTGTCCATCGGGCACGCTGAACTGCCATAAAAAGAAGAGACCGATCCGCCAAAACAAAACAGCAATAATGAAGAGAGACGATGAGGTTAACCGTCTTAGAGAAAGTGAATATAGCAGCCTGAAAGTGGCGATCGTATAAATATAAACACATAAGAAAATGGCCGGTTCAGTAAAAAAAATAATACCACCCTTCATACTTCGTTTTCGAGCGTGTGGCCCTGAACACTGCACGAGCGCGCGTGCTTGGCAGTGACGCTGAAAGCCCCCAAAGAAATCTCAAAACAAATAATCAACGCAAGTACTGTAAGCGAAGTAATTTTTGCAATGACCTAAAGGGTGTTTTCACATGACGTCAATCCGCCATTTTGTTGTTAGATGCCAGCGTGATGAAACTTATGAGCTTTCGTGCACTACCAGTCTGAGGGTGTGATCTGAATCTTCGTAGCACTTGCCTTCTGCACGCGCCAGAGTGCTCCTAACAACAAAATGGTGGACTAAATGACGTCGGTAAAAAAACCTCGTATAGTCTCAGCAAATTTTTAGACTTCAAAAATATCGTGAAAAAGTTTATCGCGAATACCATTATAACTTAGAAACTTACTAACTTACAAGGTTGTGACGTATTGCGCTTTATTATAGACCGGCGATCGCTTTTTTCTCGCTGTGCGTTAATGTAATCATGTTTCATACATTTGCGTTTGACTGTGATCGATTGCGCTAGAACACACTGGCACGCTGCCGCCATATATGACCTATCACTGGAACCCTTGCGATTTGCGTATTACTAAACAGTATGGTCTTCAACTGCGAGATTAATTTTACGCGCTATCTATGATAAATTACGAGGCTCTTATAACATTGTAAGAATTATGTCAAAACTCATGGTGATTGAATGGTGCGTAAACTACACGCAGATCTGAAGCGTTCCAGGCCAACCCGTTAGATGGCCCCAGTGTGTTATCTCGTCGTTACGATTTACGACATGGGGAGGAGATCACACCGTGGCGCCCCAAGCGGTTAACCCAGACCACACGCATGGGGACAACACATACAATGACTCAGCGCTGGGTTGACTTAACCGAACGCGGCGTCAGCGTTCGGCTGGAGTTCGTGTTCTCCGGTGAGGGGGAGGAAGACTCTTTTGTTACCACTCCGGCCTGCATGAACAATGCAGCGTGCACGATGCCCAGCTGAGTACAAAGGTCAAAGTGGGTCAAGCTGGCATTCTCTGACGACTGCTTTCGGGAGAAATCCGCCCTTTAACGTCACTTCGATTTTTGTCAGTATTTTTACGTTATACTATTGAAGATGACATATGCCCATGCCCACAAGGCCTTTGGGCAGTGCACAGGCCTTGTGTTGGGTAAACACCATGGTGTAAGGACAACAAACGGGTCTGAGCGCCCCCTATACACCAACTCATGTTTACAAACAAACCGGAGCGCCCCTAGCGGAAGCCACCGGCGCCGCGCATGCGCGATGGAGTGTGGGCAAGAAGCTCGCCGGCGCCCATAAACAAACCATTGAATTTTTTTATTATTATTTATTTATAACATACTGCAGACCAAGATGGTCCAAGCAGGAGTGAATAAGAAAGAGTTCATCACACACCGTGCATGACAATATGCAAGCAATACCTTCGACAGGAAGTACAAATAAAGATTTTTTATACAGAGCACAAAAAGCCACCACCAGCGGAAGGAAATGTAGCAGTGAAGACTTATGAAGTCATGAACTGGGAAGAAACGGATAACTGAGTGGGAAGAGAATTCCAGTAACTAATTGTCCTGGGGAAAAAAGAAAATTTAAAAAAATTGGTGCCATCAAAGTAAGATGCCAGTAAATGTGGCTGATAATGTCTGGTCTGTCTCGTTGTAACGGGTTGTAGTATGAGTGCCCATTAATAGAAAGCTCACCATTTGCAAGAAGATACAAGATCTTCAGCCTAACCTTTTTTTCTTATTTGTAAGCAGTGATAGAGTGCAGGCGAGCTGGTAATTAATCGACACCTTGTAAACCCTGAGATGGGGAACGATAAAAAACGGTCGAACACAACAAAATCTCAAACGCAGCTTTGTAACTGCACTTGCGTTATATAAATAACGCATATAAATAACGCAGCTGCGTTAGAGATTTTGTTGTGTTCGTCCGTTTTTTTATCGTTCCCCATCTCAGGGTTTACAAGGTGTCGCTTTTTTCTTCTTTCCTGAAACAAATCAATTTGGTTTATTTGCATTAGTGAGGAGGGAGAGTCGGATCGTTTTAATTTATCGTAAATGAAGCCACGGCCGGACTGGAGGCGCGCGATCTCTTTCTCTTCTCAAGGCCCGTGCGCACATTCGCGTTTGAGCGCGGTGCCTTCCGTAGCGGCAAGCGGACGCGTTGCGTTGCGAAGACCGCTTGCGCCAAACTTGTACGCACAGTTGCGTTGACACGCAGTCAACCGCAGTCAAGAGCCAGTAAGAACGCGCTATCGTCGCTAGTGGCTCACCAATAGTAAGCGAAATCCAAGGCAACATGGCGGCGCACGGTGACAGCGTCGAAGTATTCGATCTTGGGATAATCTCGCCGGCTTCCCCGACGTTTTGTTAACTTGAACCATCGCAGCCTTGGAAAATACAGTCCCCACCAATTACCCAAAACGAAAAAGCAAGCACTGCGACCGGCGAACCGGATACGTCTCGCCGAGTCGGCCGGGTGGGGCGAGTGAACACGTCACCGCCTCTCCTCTTTCGGCTTCTGATTGGTCGAACGCACCCGAACGCACCGCAACGCTTCGGAAAGTTGAGCGAGTCTCTACTTGCTTGCGTCGCACTACCGAGCGTTGCGGGAGGGCGCGCGTCGCTCCGCAAGCGACCGCGCCGGGCCGCAAGGACTCCGCAACGCACTCAAACGCGTTCAAACGCGAATGTGCGTATGGACCTTTACGGCCTTTGCAATTGGGGCAATCGCCACCTCCCGCCGCAATTCGCGGGGGGCGCTGTCACCTCACCCCCTGGCAAAGCCGCCCCTGGGCTACCCTCTGCCATTTGCACAGAGCGCGTCCGACAGTGTATCTCAGCGCTGTCGCAACTTGCGGCCGAGATTTTTATAGTCTTTGACACCTGATCCTTACGCTTAGGCCCTCAGCCACTATCTAACGCGCTTCTGATGAGCCCAAAACGGTGAATATTTGACGCACATCCCCGAGAGATTCGGGAGTAAAAAGTAGTAAGTAGAGACAGCAAATGCAATTGCGGAAAAACTATACTCGTCTTTACCTCCAGGACTTCTGCTGCAACTCAAGAACAGGAAGAGACGGACCCCTTGTACGAGGAGGAACTTTAAATGATAAATAATTCGTACACTCTCGTGAAATGTATGCCGGCCAGTCTATCTATTGGCGTGGTCTGCATCATCATTTCATAGGCTGCAGCTGCTCTAGACGAGGGTGTAGTAGCCTGTACAATTTTCGCACAGTGCATATACAGACTAAAGTGCTTCCTCGAGGGCTTGTGCACATATCCAGCTGATTTTTCGTTTCTGTTCGTGACCGTCTTTGCATGATTAATCCGAAGTGTTCTGAGGAACTTGTTGCAAAGTAAACCACTGCCAAAACAACAACCTAGGAAGCTTGAACACCAGCGCAAAGCAGGTGGAAGGGACTCTCCCAGTGGGGTGAAGTGGGGGTGAGGTGGTTGCGGCCCTGGCGGCAAGCGAGTGAACTACATGCGGAGAAAAAAATGCCATTGACTCCCGGGCGATTGCAAAGGCCGTAAGAAGAGAAAGAGAGCGCGCGCTTCCAGTCCGGCCGTGATAAAGCTGACTGCCCGCCTTTGAACTCGTTCTAGCTTATTTATATCTTCTTTGGTAAAGGGGTCCCATACAATGCTGGCGTATTCAAGCTTAGGTCTTACGAGTGAGTTGTACGCTAAATAATTTTACATTAGAGAGTGTATTCTGTAGTTTGTGCTTAATCAATCCAACCTTCCTAAAAGCAGCAGATATTATGTTGTCTATATGTTTAGACCAGCTCAAATGTTTGTCAAATGTCAGTCCAAGATACTTATAATTATCTACCTCAAAAACGTTATAGTTCCTTATTTTGTACTGAAAGGAAACGTTTTTTTTTTTTTGTTCGTGACTCTAAGAAAAAACAGTTTTCTTAATATTCAGGCTCATCTTCCATTGGTCGCACCAATCCTGTATAGAATTTAAACTCAAATTCAGTGGCAACTTGATCACTCGGACACTTTACTTCTTTAAACAACGCACAGTCATCCGCGAATAAACGGATGCTCACACCTGGGGCAACAATAGAAACAAAATCATTAATATATATAAAAAACAACCGCATCTCCACGTGGTGATTGATGCTGATTGGGGCGAAGCTCTGGTGGTGCTTGTCTGCGTAGTCCCTGAGCCGCAGCATGCCGAGCCTTTCGTTCGTTTTCATCCATGTCAGAAAGAGAATGTGTGGTATGGAACGTGGTTATATACGCATTTGACCGCAGCGCCCTCTCGTCTATAAACGTTGAGCCAATGCATGCAAAGTTTAAAGCGATTATATACGCATTTGGCCGCAGCGCCCTCTCCTGTATAGACGTTGAGCGGCTACATGCAACGTTTCATCCGTGATAGAAACCCCAGCTCTTGAGTTACTACCCCATCTCAGAGCCCCTTACTCGTCCCGGAGTCGTGGCCGAGTGGTTAAGGCGATGGACTAGAAATCCATTGGGGTCTCCCCGCACAGGTTCGAACCCTGCCAACTGCGCAAACATTTTTTTTTTCTCATCATTTTCGTTTTTGCCTTACACGAGCACGTGAGCTCACGAGCATGAGCATCAGCAAGATCGATGTGAGCAAGGACGACGGACGGACAAGGCTACCCTAAGGAGCATCGCCCCCAAAACAGTAATGGCCCCAGGACACTTCCTTGGGGTATTCCGAAAGTCACATCATGCATCTCTGAACAGCCGGCTCCAACCTCTACATACTGTTTACGGCCACGCAGATAAGAGCCAATCAATTTTAATATGGCTGAATCAAGGCCAATAGTTTGCAATTTCAGGAGTAGTTTTTCATGAGGTACTTTGTCAAGTCTTTCTGAAGTCGAGGAATAAAACATCCGTCTGTCCAGATTTGTCCAACGTGGAGGCGAATTCGCGTACTGTCGTAACAAGCTGAGTTACTGTTGAGTACCCATGCAATGCTGTCGGCGTCGGTGTGAGTCCCCCTGCCCTTTTTCGCGTTCGAATTGTTGATTCTACGTCCTCCTGGCGATGTCTGACTATCTTGAGCGGCGGCAGCAAATTACCGAGGCTCGTTACACCGCAAAACTTCGCGTGAATAATGTGACATGTGGCGATTCATTCCGCGTGGACGCCGCAGTATGTACGCTAAAGCCTGATTCGCATGCTGCGATTTCGCTCGCAATTTTCAGTCCCGACGCCGCTCGGGCTGCGAAAGCCTGAACCGTAGCTGAGATGATCGACGTCGATACTGAAAATCGCAAGCAGAATCGGACCAAGTGAATTAGGGATAACAAGTCGGTGATGGTCACTGATAACAATGATCAACATCTCCTTGTATCTACCGCTTACATCGAGCCTGCTTACCAACTGCTTACCAACCTTCAAATTTAGGTCTTTTGAGGTCTGCACTTACTTCTTATCGCAAATACCGGGTCTACATTTGGTCTACGGGCCGGCGTCGTCTAAGAGAGCAGACGTCAAGCAGAAACGTTTGAAAGAGCAGACGACAGTTAGAACGATCAGGCGGCCGTTTTGAAAGCGCACTGAACGTAGTCCGCAGGTGGTCCGTTCAACTTGACGGTTTTCCTGCATTCGTGTTGGAACGAAACAAATAAATCTGATGACGACTAGTATCCGCGAATTCGACCCAAAGTGCTTCCCGCCCAGGCAATCGTGGTCCGATGGCGTCTGGTTTTCAATTTTCACGGCACCTATCCACGTTCTCGGACAAACCGAGCATATGAAAACTGATCTTCAAACCTTTCTCGACTCTTTTGGTAGAGCCCCAGTCGCGGCGTTTTGACGAGAAGGCAGGTTTTGGTCAGGTTCCTTTCAAAACAACGCAGGAATGCACGTCTCACATGGGGACTTCTGTCCACAGCCCCAGACCGGGAGTGCGCCCGACGCGCCACCACGTGAGGTAACAGAGATGAGTTCCTGTGTAGCTTAATCTCCTCGCCAATAAGGTACGAAGGCTCGATGACCTCCAAGGAGGAACTGCAACAAAGAAAGCTGATCATGGAGTCACACCTTGACTACGTCGAGTCATTGAACCTGACACAACAGATATAATCTCATGCCAGCACCCCGCCCAACATCCCCAACCTCACTAGATAAGATATAATTCTAATCAAAATATCTATTTCTTTTTTCTTTTTTGTTTTAATAAACGTATTTTGCTACTACTAGCCGTCACAAGAGGTCGACTAGCGCAGTCAATCGCATTAGAGAACCTGAACATACGCTCCTCTCGCGGAGCAAATATCACAGTGGTTTCAATTTTTTTTTTTTTTACTTCAAATATTGCGGGAGAAGTGAAAGTCGCCCTTTCAGGGTACGCAACGGGTGCGACATGAGGCGTGGTTCAACGTACATGCGCTGTCGTAAATCCTTCGGAAGAGAGCGCGCGCGAGGACGCTTGGTCGTCATGGTCATCGTGTCGTCTGCTTGCTCACGGCCACTTTGTAACTGCACTCGCGTTATATAAGTAACGCATATAGAGATATCTAAGTGGCACATAAAATTCCCGAATGTTCAAAAATCTTTCTGCTCGTCATACTTCGGTGCAAGATCTACATTTGGCGAGCGCAACGCGAACGTGCACGTATGCTTCACCCCAAACCGGGCGCTCCTCAAGGCGGCTTCCCCACAAGCGCGAAAGTCAAATTTGGCGCATGTGAGCCCTTCTCCGCCAATGACGAGTTCGCGGCGGAAGGAAAACGAAGGCGATGCACGTGGATCGTCTATTTAGTTATACTCTAGATCACAATCAAATGCAGCTGTGTGAGCCAGCCTTCATAAAGGGATACTTCGGCGTTTTCGTCATGGTCCTTAATTTGCCTGAAAATTTGCTAAACACACCAAAAAAACATCGCTGAAATAGCACCCCAAATACTAGGCCAAAAGGTTTTTTTTTTCGAAGTTACTGAATTTAGAATTTTGGTCCTCGCCGCGCTTTTCAAACTTTACTGGCTAGAAGGAAGAAGTGATGGCAGCGGCAGGCAGGGTTTTCATACCTTGGGTCGTAGTGTTTGTTCCCACCTGATTACGAGCAGTTTCATGACGTAAAATGAATCCGTTGGAAGCTCGTTCCAGCACCCGCGCAGCTGCACGAAACAAACGCTCGGCATACTCCGTTCTTTAGACTTCCTGCTCGACCTGCAAGCCCGCCCACACTGACGTCACGGCACTGAAAAGCGCGTGAACATTTGAAAGTTAGTTTCGGCATCATTTCCATCGGCCGATTTCACAATAACTATGCTAAATTTCGCGATACTAGAGAGTTTTAGTAGATCGTTCCGATACCTCCGATAACGATACTATACGATACATGCACAAAGGCGGCGACGGAGTATCCGGTATGGTTATCGGACTCATCGGAACGATTTACTAAACCCTCCTCCTAAACAGCATAGCGGAAAGGTTCAAGGTCTGGGGATTCAAGCAAACACTGTCTAGGTAGTTAAAAAAACAAGTCGCTTAAACTGTTCCCCGCAGGGTGATCCGGGACTGGGCCCAGAACAGCCGTCGCGAGGTGGGTCCGTTCGAGGCGCGGCGCATGGACACGACGCGCTTCGTGGACCTCGAGCTGCGCCTGGGCTACCCCTACGTGTACCTGCACCAGGGACACTGCGAGCACCTGCTCGTCTTCTCCGACCTCAGGTGAATCCCTCGGAGTGGCTCGGGGAGGTCGAAGAAAACTTTAGCCAAATTAGGAAAGCGCCCGCAAACAAAGCTAGCAGTCGCAAAACTATACTCAGCCCACGCGGACAGACGGCCAACTCTAAAAAAAAGGAGCACTTAGCCTTGTTTGCGACTCTTCGAAAGACAGGAACCTTCTGCGCATGCGCAGTAGCAATAGCAGCGCCACCGCAGTGGTGCGATATCAGAGAGTTGAGTTGGTGTATGCAGACAGGTGGTTTTTACTTAGGATTTGCATATCTTTTGAACGACGTGAAAGCTACACTAACGCTGTTTGTGCAGGTGAGTTCCGGGGAGACATAATATAAGAGACTAATCGTAATGATGAGTCGGCTAATTAACTAGAATATTTTGATTAACTTTTTAATGGGTGAAAATAAACACATGGTTCCAATTAGAAACTGCCTGATCGTCATCGAAAACACTCGGTCAATTTTCGAAAGACTTGGAGCACGTATAGAAAGCACGGTGGAGCGCTAAAGTTGCCAGTCGTGCAGCAGGAGTAAGGCTATCGGTGCGATACCGCACCCGTGCTGTTTTTCTGTCTCTTACTATCTCTGCTTCGAATCGAATTGGTTCTATTTAAATCTCTGCTTCGAATTGAATTAAATTGGTTCTATTTAGATGCTAGGACTAGGTTAACAGGACGAAAGGCAGATTGATTCAGCCTGATGTTCACCCGTTTACACTGCTCAGCAGGCGAAGACAAAAACAAACATTAAAGAGGTACACGAAGATACAATAGCCCATCAATAACAATCAACACAGAATATTTTGTACAGACCTTACACAATCGTTAGTGCACTTGTTAACACTTTAGAAATAAGTGAACCGGGCAGCACAACTCATACGCAATGAAGATACAATCTAAAGTTATTTGCCCAACGTGACATGAAAGAAGGTACCGCTTTATACTATTTTTAAAGCTGGTGGTGTCAATTGGTGGTGTCAATTGTTCGTCCTAGACCAGTCTCACCGCTAGCCTTGGGCCTGTTGCACGAGTTGTAACTTGAGCGCTTCCCGGGCGCTCAAAGTTTCTCTGAAAATGTCTAATGATTAAGTGGTTTTCGATGACGCTCAGCGGGTTTGTAATTGGAACCCAATGCTTATTTTCACTAATTAAATAAATCTTAGCTGAGTCAATTACGAGCAGGGTACAGGAACTTCTCATATTCGTTTAGCGCTCTGCGCGTGACTCATTTGGCATTTTTGCAGCAGGTTGTGACGTAAATTTTTTCCGCGACATTTATCTTGCTGCAATATGCTAGTTTCGTAAACCAGTATCATCATCATCGTCGGTGCAGACAATAAAAGATGGCGTGTTATTGGAATAACGGCCACTGCTTCTGTTCTCGCATCCTTGACCGAAACATACGCTTGTCACCAAGCACGAAACTTACACACCTCATGCGCATCGTATCTCATGCATGAATACAACTCATGAGCATCGTACCGGCGTGTGACCCTGTATCACCAAAACCCCCATGCTAGGGTTCTACTGCACCGGCTAAACTTCTCACTTACAGCTGAGACACCAGACGTCCGTTGGGGCTGACTGACTTCCGGTTGCATAAACGTACACACAACACAACTGCTAACTGTTTGTACATAAAATGTATAAACTGTTGCACGAGATGAGCTATCGAAGAAAAATCCAGCACCTGCCTCGCGCGGCACTAAAATCGTATTCCTCGCACGGAACTAAAAGCACATCCTGCTCCTTGGTGAGAGAACCATTCTGCCAAAGGTCTATTCCAACGAGAATGCTCCAGACTAATTAATACTACCTGTCAAACACGTTCGAATGCGAGAGTCAAACGCGAGATGCCTGCGTTTCGTGTTTTAACGCTTTCGATGAGTCCAGTACATAAAGTTGTTGCAATAAACGCTAGAGGCTGAGCTGGCGCTAGTGTCTACGGTACTTGCGGTGGCAAATTGAAGCACACAGCAACCAGTCTACTTTTCCAGTCTTCCCGTTTTTTTCCTATGGGAAAACGTACGTGATATTTTTCTCTTCGCCAGGGAATAATAGAAATCAGCGTAGTTTCTTTACTCGTAACGGGTACTATATAGCTTTATTCACATTGTAATTTATTAGTTAATGTTTTTTTTTATTACTGAGCGATGTTCATGTTAGCAAAAATTGAGGCCAGCTCTATGTTGTACAGCATGATATTTCAATACAAGTTATAAATTCAAGCAAAAAGAGCAACTAAAAAGTGAGCAGGGTTTATTCAAGCTGTAATTATTTCTGATTATTCAAGCACATTTTGTTACTAATCCAGTAAATGTTCTTCGAACCATAACTCCATGCTTCGTTCTTGTCGTCTGTCTTGATTGTTTCATTTGGCATATATTAGCGTCATTCATACATTAGCATCATTTTAGTGTTTGTCAAGCTGATACACTCTGTGTAATTCATAGCATTGACTACATTCGTAAATACGTGCCCTATAATAGCAGTCTGTAACGTCAACACATACTATACATCTGCATCGGGCTATCTTAGCGCAGTGTTCGACGCCATGAATTCTAAAGAAAAATGCCCTAACTGACACATATTTTTGTACATGCGATTGTAAAACGTTCCAAACTTTTTATTCTGTCACAATACCAAGCGAAATTTGCTGTTATAATCGAGCGCGAAGAGAAAACGCATTTGCGTTTTCCCATAGGAATGCACTACCGGAAGTCAAATCTAAACTGGTTGCTGTCTACTTTAAAATGCAACAACACACTAGCGCCATCTGAACCTCCAGCGTTTATTGTAATAACACTATGGTGTAGTAATGTTTGACGTAGAAAAAAAAAAGTACAGTTTGTGGTTTTAGCGTTTTATCGAAACGCCAAAAAATGAATTCCTTTCAACTGTTTTGTTCGTGTTTTCTTTCATTACGCCTTAAAGCAACGTGAAGGTTCGGATAAGAATGCGACATAAAAAATAATCGATTTTGCTCGTGAGGGGCGTTGGTCCAAACTTGAGGGCTACATGCCTATTGTCCTTGCCAATAATCGTCTTCAGGTTGCTTCCATCCTGCTCACTCTGCTATGGCAGACTTCCCGAGCACGCGGTGTATTCTGCGAAATATCAGACGCCGTGCACAGCCCAGTGACTCGGCATATTTTCGTCAGGGTCATAAGCATTGGCATTTCCAAAAAAAGAAAGAAAAAACTGCTAAGCAACTTAGAAGTCCTCTGGACGACGTCATCGTTCGCAGATCCCAGCCCCAAGTGGCAGACAGTCAGACACGCTGAACTAAACAAGAGCCGCGCCACTGTAAGTGGCAGACGCGACCATCTTGGCTTCGCCGCGCGCTACAGTCACCCTCGTTGCGAAACGCTGCAATTCCAGCGTTCTCTCTCCTAAAGTGGCAAGAGTTGCTGGCCATTTTCTTCCAAATAAAAAGCCCTACCACCGATGCTTCCGGAGGAAACTCCCGATGCCCGCTTCGTACGCAGGATGCTCCACCCGGACGACAGCCAGAACCCACACGACTACCCGCTGCGGCTCAAGAGCTTTCCCTTTGGCAAGAGGGTGCTCTGCATGCTTTGCCACACCACCATCGCCAAGTAAGGCACAACGGGCTGAGAGTTGGTGCTTAAGCTGTAAGAGTATATTCGATTTCCCTGCACCTCCTGCACCGGTGCAGAAAAGTGCAAGGCTGTGTACTTCCAGTCGTATCTGAATACACATACCAGAAGTGCAGTCCTACAGTTTTCTGCACCGTTGCAGGTAAATCGACCGAAGATACTGCTGAGTCTATGGAACACCGGAGCCAGGACTATTGCAAGGAAGTTAACGGAGAAGAACGGGCTTTGGTAGTTGGTATTATAAACGAACCGGATCAGATGTTTCACCAACTGACAATACTTTTTTTAATTTTTTTTATGAACTTTTGAAGTAAGGAAATAATTTCTTCGAGGTTGACCACGGTCCACGGTGGACATCAGATAGAAAGTGTTGAGTGATAATTGAGGGTCTACCTGCACAAGGGTACAAGAGCGCCTTTTCAGTTCAACCCTGCCGGCCTAGAGTAAAAAGCCAGGCTCTCTTCCCGTGTAGTCCGGCCGTTGTTCAGCTCCAGTTCACATGGCCGCTTGTTCGGACTGAGTTGAGAGGTGAACGCTGCCGGGTTAACCAACTTTTCTCTATTCTTTTTTTGTACGATGTGTATTGCGTGTAAGAGAAGAGTAATGCGCGTGTTACAAATACTGCCAATAGGTGGATTCAGCAAGATTCCTCTGAACCTCTCGGCGTTCCTCTGCAGGTGGGTGACTTACGGGAACGAGCGGGTAACGGACGACCCCTTCTTCTTCTGCGACGTCTGCTTCCACTCGTATAACTACACGGCCGACAATAAGAAGATCGGACACTTCCGGGCCGAACCCTTCCTCGACTGGAACGCCGTGCTCTGAGCTCCCGTCCAACTGCAGCCCAAGCCTATGCTCGTCAAGCGAGAGCCGAGCGGTTCCAGTATACGCGTGTGGTACCTCGTAATCGGTGCCGTACGAATCCACCGAGCCATGCGGGTTCTGCTAGCTAGGTGGCGCAAGCTTCTGCCCGATTCGAAAGGCGTTGGTGGTTCGTAAGTCAATAAAAATACACACCGTCAGATGTATCTTTCAAGCCTTCCTACGCTGCTCAACAGGAACGTTGCGAAATGCAAGCTACTCCTCCCACAACACCCTCCAAGTTTTTTTTGTCTTCTTTTTCCTTCTTTGCACGCACAGAGGCGCGACGTGCAAATAGTTTAAATAATAATAATAATAATAATAATAATTTTACTGCAAATGCACAAAACGTATGTTAAGTCTGAAATGCCTAAGCCACATTGGGCTTGACTGGCAGCGCCTTAAAATCATTGAAACCATGCCGTTTGCAAAAGGAAACATGTAAAATAAAATCCACACAAAGAAATCAGAATAACAAAAGCAAACTAGTGAGCACTTCACGATCTAAGATTTCTCAGGGCTTTCTTGAGCTTGTATGTTGTTCTTAAATTTAGAATGCTTCACTAATGAAATTCGTTGTGCAACCAGATCGTAACATTGCGCAACACCGTTCACAAACGGGACATAGCGTTTTTTGGGTTTTTTTTTTTTTTTTGCTTCTCATTTTACTTTGAACGAGTAAAGGCGAGTATTAATTTTTTCCCGCTTAGGTTAATGTTCCAAGTGAGCACTCCCCACCGCACAGGCACGATGCTTGGAACGTGCGTCTCCGACTGCAGTGCTGCCACAAGGTGGAGAAAGATGTGTCAAGAAAGTTTGTTAAAAAATCTGGATATTTCTGTAGATATCAGAAGGGCAAAATTTAATATTATTTCTCTCAAAGTGTCTCAAAAAGTTTACTTCGATTTGCGGCTTACTTTGTGTAAACCTATTTGGATTACCAGCTTTCTTTGGATATAAAACGTGAGAATTTGTGAACATATTAGTCTGTTGACTATAGGTGACGCAAGTTAAGGGCGGTTCAAACAGACTCGGAATACGGAACCCGGGAGCCGGAACCCGTACTGACGTAATCACTTCCGGCTCCCGTTTACGGGAGCTGACGTCACGGTTTGATTTGAACGGCGCGCGGCGCGGGCAGCCGGGCAGCGCGGGTCTCCGTATAGACCTTTTCACCCTCCACCGCATGGGCGCTGCCATCTTGGAATCACGTGATGCGGCCGCCATTAGGTTGCTTCAGCTTGTTGCTCCGCTCTCCCGTCCGCGCCTTGGCGGATGCGTTGAATTCGTGTTTTTCGTCGCGTTTCACCGCGTCTCTTGCCTTACTCCGTAAAGTGTCGTCCGATACTTATACTTACCATGCAATTGCATGACATCATTATGCGCGCAACTTCTGTAGTTGATTTTGTAACACGTTTTGAATATTTTTTACCGTCGGCGTTCGGGATACGTGTGAAAAGGTTTTATAGGAACAGGAATCAGCGTGAGCACTTGCACACATTGAATACATATATAACTTGAAGAGAGCCTATACCAATAACTTATGAGAACTGAGGTTTGGTTACTAATAAGGGCGGAACATTTGCAATAGAAAACCAAATGTTCTTATATATATGAGTGCGCATTGGTGTCAAGGAAGGAAATAAAAACACTCAGCGTAATTGGCCAAGGGTTTTTTTCTGAAAGCATGGTGTTTTGTAGTTACAACAGATCGAAAACGGTTTCTTTTGATTACACTAGGGAACTTGTGGACAAGACGCGGGAACAAACATTTAGTTTGAATTATTTTTTATGCTAGGAATAATGGTACCTTAACAATAGGCAACTTGTTTGTTCGCAATATCACACCTACATCTGTTTTACCTTCTTAATCGCGTGTGTGATATAAGCATTCGCTTTATCGATTTATTTAGAAATTTTACGGAATTGTATATCGTGCTTGGTCCCATGTCCATAGTCTTTCAGTTGCTTGAGTCATTTTTTTAAATATAACTTGCAGTTTCAAATAATTTATTTCAACACAAATATTTGAACTTCCCGCGTACGAAACTGTCATAGACAGCTTGATAGTGCCTATGATTTACAAAATGCTACGCCGAAAAGAATCGTTCTGCATGAAAATCACCCGAGTGCAGCCGGTTGTCGACGGCGAATAGGGATTTACTTTCAGTAGCTGCCGACGTCAAAATGTGCAAAGCGCATCCCTTCAAATCAGTGAACAACTTTCTACACAGGTCCATTGAGTGGCGCCTGGCATTCGACTTGAACCAAACTTATCGAAGATCGATGATTTCTTTTGTGCTCTCCAATTTCATTCGGCAAATTTTACGGAAGATGAATATCAAACATTATTTGAAGTCTGGCATTCACCATTCTCATACATTGAGAACGTCGTAAGCAAATGTCCTTATAACAAAAAGTTTATTTCATAAGGCCAATATTTTGAAATGCTGTAAATGAGTACTTTAGCTAAAAAAATTTTCCAGTCAGCCTAGGCTGGTCTATTAATATATGTCTCAAGCGCTTAATTTCTTTAAATAAAACAGACCGAGACCATATCACTTTTTTATAATGTCTACGTGATTATATGAAATTTTTCTAGTCATTATAAAAGACGTTTCGAGTCTCGAAGTTAGAAAAGATTGAGGTACGGAAACCAAACATCGAACAGTAAAGTCGTCAGTTCATCTGTTCTTGGTGACTCAGCAGATTGTTGATCATGCTGTCGACCAGCTTTTTCACTAAGCACTGATGCAATATAGTCTGTTGCAATATAAGATGATCAGTTCAATATCTGACTTGAGAGCGAGCTATCTACCTTCCGCACCGCTCGGTGCACGCACAGCCAAAGCACGGCGGCAGGCAACGAGCGCACGCTGGAGGCGGTGCTTGTCCTGCTTTTTATTTTATTTTTTTTTCTTAAAATTAGTGTCCGCGGGTACGGCCGTGGACAATGGTGCTCCTCCCTGTGCATCAGTGCAGTTGTTTCACCGCCGAACCTGGCCGAAGTTAACGATGGACGGAATCAGACGCACATAGTGTTCGTAAAACAAGATCGCAATTTACGCTCGAAACCACTTCGTGGTTTCCCAAGTGGCTCAATACTATTGTTTCATTCGCTGTGTGCTACTAGAAAGAAATTCATATCGCGAAATTAATCGAAAGTGACATGAAACAGCATCACAACCGCGTGCGCGTTGAAACCGAAACCGACCAAATTGAAGCAACCTAATGGCGGCGAGTGCGCCAGCGCCCTCTACCCGCCGGTCAGGCGACTACTGAAATGAAAAGGTCTATAGGTTGTTTTCATATGACGTGAATCCGCCATTTTGTTGTTAGTTTATTTTTTCAAACAAATTCACTAATGTGAAGGATTACATCGCAACCTGTTGAGGAGATGCCAGCATGGTAAGACTTGTAATCTTCTGTGCTCTACGCATTTAAGGGGTCATGCAAATCCTTGGGATACTTGCCTTCTGCACACGCTAAATAGCTCAAAACAACAAAATGGGGGATAAAATTACGTCAGTGAAAACTCCCTATACGGTAGCTGACGTCACGGCGGCTCCCCAGGCAGCCAATCAGCGGCTGTCGTCAAGCCGGGTCGTCGCCCGGGCGGCCCGGACGCGCGGCGCGCTCTGTCTCTCGCTTTGTTTCGTGATGGCGTCGCCTCGGCAGGATCCCGGCTACGAAGCTCGAATTGCCTCACTTATGAACCTTTGTGTAGTGAGGTGCGTCACAAATGCAAGAACTATCACCTGGCGTCGGCTGACTACTTTCGCGGCTGCGTGTGAGCAGTACCTACGGAGCGTGAAGAAACAGAAGAAGCGAAAGGCCGTCCGCGAGCTCCTGAAGCCTCGAAAAATGCTCGACGAGTATGCCACCATCGTGAGACTACAGTCCTACAGTGTTGTGAGACAGATGTTCGAAGACTCCGACGGCCGGGAATTCTTCGAGTGCTTCCGAATGTCACGAGCCAGGTAGGGTGTGCTGCTTTTTATTTTGGATTATTTTTATGTTATATATCAAGTGGCGTTCCACATGGGCCCGCGCGTCGCTCGCAGGAATACTCACCTGGAGCGTGCGCTCCCGCAGTGAAAGCACGTCGTCGTGTTTCTTCCACCCAGTCTCAGGTGGTAAAAAATGGTGAACTTACACCAGCTCGCCTGCGCCCTAACTGTTTTTTCATTACGTTTATATCATTTTTAACGCGGCAGGATCACGAGAGCAGCTTTCGTAACAGTCACATGCTTGTCAAATTTTACTGCTCTGTGCTATAAAAGAAATAGCAATGGCATCCACATGTGCAGCTCGTATACGACACACTCTTTCGGTCCACTAAATTTGGTCACGGTGTTGTGCTCCTTTGAGTGCATGTATGAGGGAAGCCCGTTGTGCTTCCTTGTCCTTTGTGCTAGCTAGGATGTGTGCTTACAAGCTGCTTATGAGTGAACTCTGCACGAAAGCTCGAGCTGCAGAACCCAGGGATCTTGGGTTCAATCCCCACCCCTGCCCGTTTCGATCTGGATGAGCATCGTACCAGCAGACGTTCGCGTTTCACTACTGCGTGACGGGTGTTAAAGACCCTAGGCTAGCGGTCGTACAGTACTGCCTAAAAAGTGGTCTACAGCGCGTACCAGTGTCGTTGACCTTTTTAACATTTTAAGTGTCGGATGTAGCTCGCACGCACAATGGTTGCAGCTGGGCACGTAGCCAGGATTTTGTTTCGGGGGGGGGGGGGGGGGGGGGGGGGGAGGAGATTTTGTCGGTCGCAGAGTGCCCGAGGCTGGTAAAACATTGTGTATAAAAAAAAAGAAAATGAGCAAATGAATTGCTTCATTACAATTGTAGTGAACAAGCATGCCCTCAAAGCTTGAAGCTTAGCACATTTGCTTATTAATAACCTCCCACTGCCATTCCGGTCTCTTTGCAGCCAGCAGGCCAACCACTGCCTGCCTCTACAAACGGCCTTTCTAAAGGCCACTCATATTTGCATTGAAGATGCCGTTTCATAGGGTTGCAACCACCTCCCGTGTCTCCGAAACCGTGTCAATAAATTATTAAAAGCAGTATCGAGTTCTTTCACTTGTCCCGGTCCCTGTGGTCGCTACGATACCTGTCGTAGATCGAGGGGTACCGCTGAACTACCTAACTAATCCATAGGCTTTCTCGGGTACGGCAAACGC